TTGTATTTAATGTGATTACAATTTAATTAAAACATTAGAAATTCATAATTATATAACGTTTCCTTCCCAGGGTTATTCAAACAGCTAATAAATGATGTACAGTAACGACATTATCACTAACTTTGATCTATGGCACTCTCAAAAAAACAAAACTATCGTTATAATCACTGAAGCTGTATACACTGTGAAATGAATCTCTTACTTACATTGGACGTACATCTGCGCTTTGTTGTTTATGATGAGAGAATTCGCAAGAGTCCGGAATTCAGTCAGCGAACGCGCGCTCTCTCAACAAAACTGATCTGTTTAAACGATGACTCATCTGAATGCCTCTGATTGGCCATTGCATTCCTAAGCTCAACAGAATTGTGTGTGATTGGTTCAAATGCGCAACACTGTAAAAACGCCTAAAATGAAATACGGTGCAACATGAGCAGATCTTAATTTAATGCCGCAATCGACACTGTCTATTCATATTCATTTTGTTAGCAACAGACGTAATAGATTTAATTTATTTGTGCAGGGGCATTTTTGTCCAATTTAGTGCCATTTTTGCCCCAAGTCCCCGTGGCCAGGGGAAGGCTAAGCCTTCACACCCAGCCTTACACACGCTCCGCCTATGCAGTCCTCCATAAAATGTGCTGCACCCATCTGAATATTTGGTTTGAAGTGTTCTGTAACAGTGTTGTAAATACAACTTAACCACTGATTTCTAGTCGTGTCCTCTTTTGGAAGGCCAAACAAAGTAGTTTCGCTTTCACAACGAAACACACAGCGTCTCCACGACATGGCGGCGGCAGCAACAATACTACAGCGAGAATAAAAAGATACGCCTTCTTTCTTTGCGTGACCATTTGGGTGGCGTTATGCAAATCTTCCCACATCGTGACGTAGACATGTGGGGGCGTGTTAGAACGAGCCGTTTTAGGTAGGCATGGTTGACTCTTAACTTTTATAAAGAATATCTCTTTGGATTTGAGACTTTAGTCTTTGCAACTTTACAGATCTTCTTTATGCACCAAGAGCTTGTAACACTTCAAAGAGAAAGGAAAAATTGAAATCGCATCATATGACCACTTTAAGGTATTCTGATGATGTCAGTTTGTTGGTATGGGCAGAACATCCTTTAGCCCCTCCCCTCCAACCACCAATCTGCTGCGAGCTAGAGATGGTGAGCAGGTGTGTTGAAATCAAGCTCCACCCTCTATTTTTAACATTTAATATAGCGTTTGACTCTGCAGAGGACAAGCGATTTGGAATATACTGTTTCACTTGGAAATATGTAACAATGGTGAAGTAAAGTATGTCACAATTTCAGGTTCACACAGACTTTAATGCAACAAACATTCATTCTCAAATAAGAAACAGTTGTAGTCCTGCCTTACAGTTAAAAGAGCCAATCGCCTGCAGGATGGAGGCCCCACCTTTCATTTTTTAGAGCCAAACACCTATTTGTTTGTCAGATTTTATTTGATTCCTTATATAAAATGTTTTTGAAACATAATTTTGACAGTTGCGAAGAAACCTTTCACAGCAATTAGCAAACAACGGCGATCCAATCAATTCCTGAAAGACAAAATCAAGTTCAGCGACCTACATTTTTTCTTATTCGAGAAGCGGTTTCAGTCAGATATTCATCACAATAGAAAAGTAAAGCCATTGCAATTTCCATTTCATGCCGACTTTAATATTATGTGGATTTTAGCATGATTAAAATGCTGTAGCCATGTCCAGAAGTGTCCGACTGTTTTGTAACACTTTACAGTAACGTTCCAACTACATTAGTTACCATGAACTAACAATGAAAAATACTTCTAAACCATTTATTAATCTTATTTATGTAAATTGTTTAACGTTTACTTATACATTATTAAAATCAGAAGTTGTGTCTGGTAATAGTAATAAATGGACCTAATATTAATCAACAATGAACAGTTTAATTTTTTTAACAAAACAAAGATAAAAAATATAAATGTATTTCTCATTATTAAGGTTATTTAATGCATTTTATTTAATATCTAATGGGACCTTATCATAAAGAACTGTTAAAAAAAATTACAGATTGGTTCTGTATATCACGTATATATTAGTTACATAAACAAAAATGTTTGGTCTCTAATAGGAATGCAGTCCCATCCACCCACTCTCTCTCTCTCTCTCTCTCTCTCTCAAAAGAAAAAAAACATGGTCTGGTCTGGACAGACAAGGTTTTGGAGCAAGATGAATCTTGCTTTGAAGTGTAGTTTGTGAGATGTACTTTGAGTGGACTTCACAGAAGATTGTGACAGATATCTTTCTGTGCTGGATTAGATTTAGATCACTCTTCTGCTCATGGAAAGAAACCCACAGACAGAATAAATCAGCAGGCCAATCTTTTAGCAATAAAGATCTCTTTACACTTACAGATTCATCTGTCTAGAAGAGGCTCATACATATGCTCAGAGCTCAACATCCGTTTGCACCACTGGAGTTTTCCCATTGTGCTTCTGTGTAAAACAGCAGCATATGGGAGTCGGGCAAAGCGTCATTGGATCCGATTTCAAGGATAGACCTTTCCATACCAGTGCTAGTGTTACCACATTTGTCTAGGCATCATAAAGGGATAGAAGAATGATTGTTCTGTGACCACAAGTTTTCCATGTGACACATGTGCATCATCTCATTTGTCCATTTCTGTCTGTTCTTACACTCTTGAGTCAGGGGCTGTGGGACACCCCCAGCCCTGACCCACGAGGCCGCAGGTTAAGAGATCCATTCCTGGATGCTGTTTGGCAGGAGGCCCACCATCAATGTGCTCCTGTTTGACCTCCAGATCAAATGTGAGTCAAATAAATTTCACTCTTTTGGCTTTAACCTTGTAACATTGTTTCTTAATATAGAAATCAGTTGATTTTTAGCGTAGAGTATTAGTGTTTTGATTATTTGAACACTAGTGCATGTGACAAAAGGGTCAGCGACGTGACACTCATTTTTTTGCCTTATCAGTTTATTCAAAAATACATTAAAATGCAAGTCCTTTATTATTAATCCTTTATTATTTAATAGAAAAAATATAATAAGTGATTTCACTTTTTAGTAGTATTAAAACACTTTTGTCCCCAAAATTAAAATCATCTAGTGTTAACAAGCAGGAAAAAAAAGAATTTTAAAGAATTTTTTTCACCCTAAAACAAATATGTTAAAAACCAATTTGATGATTAAGGTGTGTACACCATGTGTATTCAAGGTGCAAGGAGTATGTTTTTTCTTACTTTTTACTTGACATTTTTAGAGTAATTGAATTTAAACTGTTTATGTGAGTAGTAATAAAGTTTTTTAAAACTATATAAAACCAACATGAATACGAATAACACATTTCTGTAACTGCATTTTTTAAACTAGTTTTTTTTTAGATGATTTGTCCTTTTTTATCACGGACAACATTAAATGTTATTGACCTAAATATCAGCTCTTTGAAACTAGTACTAATCTTTGCCCTGGTTGAAAATTACAGACATCCCTCTTCGCAAATGGTTTCTTTCAAGCACACGCCTGTCCACTTGGTCGACATAACTGATAAACCTGTTTGTTTCACAGGAACTGATGCTACATTCACCTAAACACACGCTACTCCTCTGTGTTTGCTCAGCTGAAGGTGTGAGAGTGGGAGGAGAGGTGAGATGGAGTCAGAGGAGACAGAAGGACGCACTTTAGTGCAGGTGATCAGTGAGAAGTACAGCCCGGAAAACTTCCCATACTGCCGTGGGCCAGGAGTTGGAGTGGTGATCCGGTCGAGTCCCCAGGGTTCACCTGTCAAAGGTCGGTTTTATTTTTGGCCGTAGGTGAAATGCTGAGCCTGCGAGTTAAAGATACAATGTGTTAGATACAATCTGGATCAGTGATCTACAATCAGTGGTTATTGCCATTAAACACGGTTTTGCTGCGCCTGTTGAAGAGCACAATGTTATCATTATAGTAATGTATTCTAGGGCCAAAATTTAAGGATTTTCCGAAGATAATAAGTGAAATGCTGTAAATAAATAAAGTTTAAAAATAAAAACCTGTACGGGTGGTTGTAACTTCTTCAAATTCTAATGAATTTTCATCTATACATTAATTAAAGGCAGTTTATGTCTCCCTCTGTGTGTATAAGATCGTCTGAATCTGCCCAGCATTCTGGTTCTGGATGGTTGTGGAATCACGGAGGCCGGAGATGAGGAGGAGGTGGCCACTTTCTGTGCTCACGTGGTTGAGCTAGACCTCTCTCACAACCAGTTAAAAGACTGGGGAGAGGTGAGAAAAATGTGTTTGAGTCACAGGTTTTGTCTCACTGTATGTACATTTGTGTACGTAGCACAAAGAATGTCAGTAAGGTAACACTTACTGTACAATTCAATAAAATTCAGTGTATTATCAGTGATTAATGCATTATGTATTATAAACATAATATAAAGGTATTATAAAATGCTGTAAAAGTATTACTGCATTAAATCATGGTTAATATATAGAGCCGTATTAAGTTTTATCAGATTTCACTACTCTGATGTCGTTAGAAAATAAGTCTTAAAGGAATAGTTCACCCAAAAATGAAAATTTATTCACCCTCAGGACATCCAAGATGTAGATGAGTTCGTTTCTTCATCGGAACAAATTTGAATTACATATGTAGCATTACATCACTTGCTTACCATTGGATCCTCTACTACAGTGAACGTGTGCGGTCAAAATGGATGTCCAAACAGCTGATAAAAACATCACAATAATCCACAAGTCATCCACATGACTTCAGTAAATCAATTAATGTCCATCAATAAATTTCTCAAAATCTGTTCTGATAAAGAAACAAACTCATATACATCAGATGGCCTGAAGGTAAGTACATTTTCAGCTAATTTTCATTTTTGGGTCACATTTGGGTACCATTTTTTGACAAAATTTCACAGACGAAATCCAGTCATTTCCATAGGAATCCGTGTGATATGGAATTTTGAATAAGAGACAGATTTGGCATGTGGCTCATCTCTTTTCATACAAATTTGTTGTTGATAAACAGAATGCTGTTTAATTTAATGTCTGGGCGAGCTTTTTTCCCAGCAATATTTGGCTAATTTTATGCATTTTTGTTCATGTAACTAATTTATAAATATACCTTTATTTATTTATTTTTTTAAATACCTTTACTAAAGTGTTATTTTTACGCTTATGTTAGACTGTAACATTCAAAAATACAGTGAAATCGAGGTCTGCTACTTGACACAGGCTTGACAAGACAAACTGCTTGTGTTCGGTCAGTTTTTCATTCTTTTCTCTCTTTTTCTCTCCTCTCTGTAGATAAGCAAGATCCTGTGTAACATCCCTAACCTAGACTTTCTCAATCTGAGTATGAATCCACTGAGAGGGTCAAGTCTAGAGCCTGGAGCTGCTGAAGCGTTCACAGGCCTCCGCCGCCTCGTGCTCAATAACACACATGTCACCTGGGATATGGTGCATGCACTTACACGAGAGATCCCAGAGTAAGTGTGTGTGTTTAACATTGAAGTAGCCTCGGTCTGAACCATCTAATGTGTTTGTGAATGTGTTTTTATACATTATGATTTAGGTGTGCAGTTTCTCGTTAGTGCTGTCAAACGATTAATCACGATTAATCGCATCCAAAAAAGTTTTTGTTTACATAATATGTGTGCTGTGTATATTTATTATGTATACATAAATACACACACATACAGTACATATTTTGAAAATATTTATATGTATATATTTATATTCATATAATTGATATTATATATAATTATATGTAATATATTAACATACCATATTTTTCTTAAATACATGCATGTGTGTGTATATACACAGTAAACACACATATATTACGTGAACAAAAACTTTTATTTTTGATGCGATTAATCACGATTAATCATTTAACAGCAATTCTCGGCATTGTAAAAAATTATAGGAAAATATAAATCGAGACAATTTTGACTAATTTTGCCATGACTGACTTTAGTGATTTTGAATAAAATTACTTTTAAATTACACCAAACAGTGAAGCAGTTTTGTTCAAATATTTTATTGAGAAATTAATCATATTAACAAATCAAACATTATGCCAAACTAACTGTTTTTATGTATTTTTAATCTATTTTAATGCATTTTCTATTCAAATGTAGATATTGTTTTAGCACTGTGCTGTGGCATACCACTAGTTGCGAAATGGGTAATTTTGTCATGCACTAAAACTTTTCTTCTTTTTCTTGTGGTTGTATGTATGTAGGCTGGAGGAATTGTTTTTGTGTCTGAACGAGTACGAGAGCGTGAGTGTGTCATCTACGCTGTGCCTGTCCCTGCGCCTGCTGCATATCACAGATAACCAGCTGCAGGATTGGGCGGAGGTGCGCAAGCTGGGCCTCATGTATCCAGGCCTGATGTCTCTTATCCTGGCAAACAACTCCCTCTCGTCTATCCACGAGCCTGAGGACTCCCTACAGAGACTTTTTCCCAACCTGCGCAGCATCAACCTACACAACTCAGGTGCTGGATTGCATGAACATCATCTCTGTAGAAAGAATAACATCACAGACACACACACTTCTAGGTAGTTGCATTATAGGAAAATATAAATCGAGACAATTTTGACTAATTTTGCCATGACTGACTTTAGTGATTTTGAATAAAATTACTTTTAAATTACACCAAACAGTGAAGCAGTTTTGTTCAAATATTTTATTGAGAAATTAATCATATTAACAAATCAAACATTATGCCAAACTAACTGTTTTTATGTATTTTTAATCTATTTTAATGCATTTTCTATTCAAATGTAGATATTGTTTTAGCACTGTGCTGTGGCATACCACTAGTTGCGAAATGGGTAATTTTGTCATGCACTAAAACTTTTCTTCTTTTTCTTGTGGTTGTATGTATGTAGGCTGGAGGAATTGTTTTTGTGTCTGAACGAGTACGAGAGCGTGAGTGTGTCATCTACGCTGTGCCTGTCCCTGCGCCTGCTGCATATCACAGATAACCAGCTGCAGGATTGGGCGGAGGTGCGCAAGCTGGGCCTCATGTATCCAGGCCTGATGTCTCTTATCCTGGCAAACAACTCCCTCTCGTCTATCCACGAGCCTGAGGACTCCCTACAGAGACTTTTTCCCAACCTGCGCAGCATCAACCTACACAACTCAGGTGCTGGATTGCATGAACATCATCTCTGTAGAAAGAATAACATCACAGACACACACACTTCTAGGTAGTTGCAGCATTAACCTTTACTATCTAGGTTAATTTACAATTTAAACAAAATTGAGAACATCACAAGCCAAAACTTAAGTGGTCCACATGGTTCATGCACTGTACTCCTTGTCTTCTTAAGTAAAACAATAGATTTATATGAGGAAAAGACCAAAATTGAAGCCGTTATTCATTAAAAATCTTCCCTTCCACTGTAGCTTTCTAATATTCTTCTTCTGTTATTCAGTAGGTCATCAGATTTCTGTGGTTTTGGGTTGTAAATATTTTTAAGTACCTATTCTAAATAATCATGTAGTATCAAAAGGTTAGTTCATCCAAAAATGAATTACTCACCCTCATATTTTTCCAAAACCATTAGATAATTGTTCATATTGGAAACACAAATTATATTTTCAATGAAACCTGAGAGATTTCTGTCCCTCCATTTAAAGTACATTCCACTAAAACTATGATGCTTCAACTGTCAAAGTTTTGGTTGCATGGAGTGTTGCATAGAGGCACAGAAGTTTCATTAATATGTTTTCATTTGTGTTTTGAAGATGAACCCAAGTCTAATGGGTTTGGAACGACGTGGGTGAGTAATTAAAAATTGACCGAATTTTATATTTATCCAGTTTCATGGATTATTAACAGAAATGTAGGTGTTGTGTTATTTAGGTTTAAGTCGCTGGGAGGACATTGAGAAATTGAATTTCTTCCCAAAGCTTCAAGAAGTCAGACTGATGGGTATTCCTTTACTGCAGCCCTACACTGATCAGGAGAGACGTTGTCTTATGGTAGCACAGTAAGTAACCGTACACACTTTTGGAATTTGCCATTTTTGAGTATTGTTGGAAATTGTTTGCACAAATCAGTGTAGCCACCAATATGGAATTGTGCATGTCCATGCATTCCATGTCTCTTTCTGTTTCTCTCCCTCTCACACACTTGTCCTTCTTCTGTGTTTTGTAAGTTTGCCTCACGTGACTGTATTGAACGGCAGTGTTGTCACTGATGGAGAAAGAGAGGATGCAGAGCGCTTTTTCATCCGCTACCACCTGGACTGCCCTGAGGATGAGCTACCCCAAAGGTGACCCACCTGCACCCCTTACACCACCACACTCCATATACACAACTCTCTCAGTCTCTTTTTTGTTTCTTTAGAGAACTATGTATAGTACATCCCAGAAAATGACTGGTGTCTGTGTATTAAAATATCCTATTTAATCAACCTATCATATAAATCTAAAAAATATGCTTCTTTTTATTCCCTCATAACTGCAGACTCGGGTCTTATTTGTTACCCATAACTAATGTTATCCTTTTTCCCAAAGTTACTAAAAGGCTGTCTTTTAATTATTTACAGTATATAAACATCCTTTAAGAAAGTTAACGTTTTTATTTATTTATTTATTTATTTTTTGTTATCTTTTTGATATCCATAAAATAGGTCTATATAGAAACATATAGAGGGACCTTCAAATTGACCATTTTACAAAGGTTCAAAAGTCACAATAAATCAGAAGTAGCAACAAATCTTTTCCTTTGTGTTGTGAAATAAATTGAGGTAAGCGTATCATCAAAAAAAAAAAAAAAAAACAGGAGCGGGGGCTTGGTTTTATGCATTGGCTGTTGATTGGATGGAGGCAGATCTAAATGCAAACTTGCATGTGATTGTAACAAAGGGGTGGGATTTAATCGGACAAAATTATTAGAGTCCAGCAAATGTCAGCAGACAGAATTCTGTTGTTTCAATGGTAGATCAAGTTAGAATATTTGGATTAAGAATTATGAGGTATAAAAGATGTAACAACATGCCAAAATGAGTTCAAAATAAGATCCATAATAGGCATTCAGAAAACAGATTCATTTTAATTTCATAATGACTATAATAAGCACTAGTTTCTTGATCATATACAATTAAATATTATCTAGTATTAAATTCTGAATAATTTACTGAACAAGTGTTATGCTGTAATTTAGGTTACATTCCCATACAGTTGTTCCACAGACATTAAAGGTTAGTTTAGTCCTTGCAGTTTTTTATTTGTCAGTATTGCTTTTCAGTATAATTTTCTATAGAACTTTGTTAACTTTAGTTGAAACAAAATTTTGCAGCTATGTTATAAAATCTTAACATTTCAAGAGCCCAGCCACCTCTTTCCGGTTTAGCACAAAAAGCGCCCCTCTCTCTCTCTCTCTCTCTCTCTCTCTTTGGCCATGTTTTAAGTTTCATGGTGGCCATCCACACATTCCAACCTATTTTCCTTTCACTTCCTTTTCTTTAGTTTGGCGTCTCCAGTTATCCAGGTGACGTTTAACTCTCCCATCCCTCATGTCTTCTGGCTTTCCCCCTTCCCTCATTGCTTCTGTTTTTTTGGGGGGGGACTTTCGGGGGGATAATTTGGAGGGTCTTTGCAGGTCAAAGAAATGGAAAACGGATCACCCACGTTCTTAGCACACCCCATTCCACTTAACCTAGGAGAATGTGCAGAGGACTTTTTCAGTGACTGCGGCAAGCCCCAGCTTCCAGCAGGGTATTCTAACCTTTGGGAGACAATGTGTTCACTCTCTCCCTCCTCAAAGACGCCTTTGTACTGGAATACTCCAATCAGAAAATCGATACACATGGTGGCAGCTTTATTCGTTCTTCCCCTCCTTATATCCCCCTCTCTCCTGCCCCTTTTCATTTGCTTTGGGGGGATTGAGTTAGCTGGAGGATTTTTTCAAAAGGGGATGGAATGACGTCCCTGACTCAGTCTCTCCTGTTTTTTCCGTTAAGCGGTGGAGATGCTGTTGCCTTTGTTCTGGAATGGCTCTCAGACCTAGTGAATTGATTAAGTTGTCTAAACAGTTATGAGACAGTTCCTGCTCCAGCTATAGAAGGTCGGAAACTAGAGATGAGGTGAAAATGGGCCTTTCTCAGAAATAGTGGCCTCAGTCTAAAGTACCAGATACTAAAAAGAGGTTTTTAACAACCTTTTAAAATAACCCTTTCTTAAACAGATGATAACATTGATAACATTGACCCACAAATGACGTGTAGGAAAAACTAAAAACTAAATACCATAGCATAAATACATAAAAAACACAAATTAAGAATTCATCACACAGCAATAATTTGTTCCGAACGTCGAACGTGTTTCAAAAGACATGAGAAAGTTTTCATGACTAGGTGAACCATTCCTTAACAACTCGATTTTTCATTTATATCTTCTTGTGCCCACCGGGACCACTTCTTCAGAGACTTTCTTTTCAACACCTAGGTAAACCAAAACCAGGTAACAATGACCCTCATTTCTGACCTCCTCACTCCATCCACATCCTCTGTTTCTTTCTCTCTGTCCCATTCTGTCTGTCTCTCTGGAGGGAAAGCCATTTTCCCAGAGGGAAGAGGTTGAGATGAAAGTTGGCACTGGAGGGTGAAAGGGCAGGTGTAGAACTAGATGGTAAACTCTAGATATGGGTTAAGGTTGCCCCCTCTTTGAACCCAGCCTGCTCTTTCCCCCACCCTTTGGGCGCAGATCAGAGCTTAGGCTATGTTACTGACTCTGAAAGACGCCAAAAATCTGAGAAACAGAGAAAGAGATGGGCAGAAAGAAATTATGCCTCCCTGACCTCAAACACACCGTTGGACCGGGCCCTCTTTGAATGTATGAGACATAACTGGTGTAGAGATCTGAGAAACAGAGAAAGAGATGGGCAGAAAGAAATTATGCCTCCCTGACCTCAAACACACCATTGGACCGGGCCCTCTTTGAATGTATGAGACATAACTGGTGTAGAGACCCATTCAGCCTAATATATGAGACTCAAACTGTGGTAGCATGGTTAGAACCATTTGAGAGACTTTCAAAGTGATTTCACAGTAACCTTAGTCGCATTTACGGTTGCTTAGACATAAACTTTAGATATAAGTAGGCATGGGACTGTTATCTTTATAAAGCTGAGAAGATGTAGAGATTTGAGTGCTGGCTAGTGTAATTCAAACCTTTCACTGCTTGATTGCGCACAACGATTTTCTAGATCAGGCCTATATATGTTGTTTAGCGTATACCTATGAATATCCTTCCAAAACTACTTTATGTGCACTAAAATAGCTTTTGTACTGTCCTATTAACAAAAAATGTTAAATACTTCAGCTTTAGTTTAATTGTACCAAGGGCAAGGCTGTGAGGTACACTTGTTATAGTGTATGTAGGAAAGAGGGAGGCTGTTAAATAGATAAAGGAGCTCTATATATTTAACAGCCTTTGAGTAACTAAAACCTGAGCTGTGGCCATGGGCATGTTGATCCTCCCTTGGAGGAATGGGAAACACAGGAATGATAGCAGAGGGGAGGGATGCAAAGACAGGGATGACAGAAGGAGAGTGTGAAGAAAATGAAAGAGGCTATTGGTCTTACTGTCTTTGAGTAACCATAGCCTGGGACCTTGTTGACATTTTGACAGTGAAAGACAACATGGGGCCTACAAGGATGTAAGAAGGCCAATGTATAGGGAAAATCTAAGTGCGTCACTCTTTACGGACAATGAGAAATTTAAGAAGATAAGTGGATTGCGTAACCAGGCTCTTTAGCATCCATCATGGTGGATGTCGATGCTAAAGATGTCAAGATAGAAGGATTCATAGACAACATGTAGACAAGTTCCCATTAAAGCATTTAATGCATTTGCTGCTGTTTTAATTCATTTAATGGTATAGTGGTGAGTGGTGACTACATTGAGGTTGACTTGACTTGACAACTTGAGGTGCAGAACCTGGGTAATAACATTTTCTTCAATACAGACTTAAATGTATTTCAGTCTGAGAAATCAGTTCAAATTCCAAGTACTTTTTATTGTCACTCAGGAGTCAGGACACCTAGCGTCATAAAGAATGCAAGGTAGTGTCTTCAGCTATGTCTGAATTCATTTTAATTCACTCTTTCCGTAGTATTAGGGCTGTTGTCAGGGGGGACAACCGACAACATTGTCCTGGGCCTGCTAATGTCCTCAATAGCATTGGGTCCCACCCATAAAATATATAGTGAATATTTTGGACACTAATGTATGTGTAAAATACAGAGATATCACCTTTTTTTACTGGTATTTTGTCTTGTGTGACTCTCAGTTGTTGGAAAAGAAAACAATGCTCTTGGTCTCATGTGACCACCTACATCGTTACTATAGCAACCCATGTAGATATACTAGTTATTGCTTACACTTAAAATAAGTCTTAAAATCAGATTTGATTTCAATTGATGCAAAATTGACCGTCAGTCCTAAAAATGGGAAAGCACAAATGGCAGTTGTGTGGAGTGTGAACAAAGGCTAAGGTTCTGTATCTCTGCTGCACCTTTCAAACAGACGGGTTCCCATGTTAAGTTTTAGATATCTAAATTTTGAGCTAATTGTGATTGTGTGCATGTTATCTATCTGAAAACAGATCATGTTGTTTTTGAGGGCATCAACAACGGCAGTATCTACAGTAGACTCACTGTATGGCTCTACTATGAACCTGGTGCACTGCATGGTGGCGACTGTCCGGTCCCATCTCCGAGACTGATCTAAGCACTGTTCAAGGAATCCAAGGCAGCTATGTTATCACAGCGAACACCCATTCGCCTTCATTTAAGGAGCTTAGCCACATTAAATGAGACCCTTGAGTGAGACTGTTCTCTCTCAGACAGAGTGGCACTTTGTATAGAGGGGGCAGTATTCCCATGGCGAAGGCAGGGAGCCACAGGCACCTACCCAGGCTCAGGCTCTGCTTTGTGGGGAGACTTTTCTGGACAAGGCTGGGGAAATTACTTTGATTGGCTGTGTTGGTTACTGTAGCCCTCTAAAGCTAAAAGACTGTTTTGTGGAGATTTTATTTAATTGTTCCTGCCGATCTCCTCTTATCTTTCCCACAATCCTTCAGCAAGAGGGGAAAGAAGGGAGGGTAAACGGGGTGGTGGTGAGAACTTTCTCACGGTTTAAAAACTCGCTGTGCTTCACAAACACACGAACAGGTACACAAATACACAACCGCATCTTCTCACAAACACACACACACAGATCTCTGGTCACTTCCATGGTGCACTGACATTATTTTTGTTTAGAGGAGTTGTCTTTTTTAAACAGTTGAGGGTAATTGACACTTTTGATGAAAACAGACATATGCAGACGTCCCACTCTGCAAAAACTCATTTCTGGGAGATGGCACAATAAATTCCTGACCACGTGGCTGACCACTTCACCAAAAACACATCTTAAAGGGTTAGTTCACTTCCAGAATAAAAATTTCCTGATAATTTACTCACCCCCTTCTTCAGTTGAAAAGAAAGGATATACTTTTTAACCACAAATGCTCATCTTGCACTAGTTTGACCTCACACATTACGTAGTCACACACACGTGACATAGGCGGAAGTACCGACCCAGTGTTTACAAAGCAAACATGCAAAAAAGTCAAATGCCCTTTACAAAAAAAGGTAAAACAAAGTCGGACGATTTTGAAGTTGGATGAGAAAATGACGGAGATGAAATTTTTCACCCTACCCTACCTTTTTGAACTGAAGTACACAGACGAAGAACTAACCACGCATGACTTTTCCAACGTGATTAGGCAATGCGTGAAGCCGTGGACACGCACCACAGAGCTAGTGCAAGATGAGCATTTGTTTTTAAAAAGTATATAAATTTTACTTTTTTTTTTTTTAGAAAATGACCAATCGTTTTGCTAGATAAGGCCCTTATTCCTCGGCTGGGATCGTGTAGAGCCCTTTGAAGCTGCATTGAAACTGCAATTTGGACCTTCAACACGTTGGCTCCAATTTAAGTCCACTAAATGGAGAACAATCCTGAAATGTTTTACTCAAAAACCTTAATTTCTTTTCGACTGAAGAAAGAAAGACATCATGAACATCTTGGATGACATGGGGGTGAGTAAATTGTCAGGAAATTTTTATTCTGGAAGTGAACTAATACTTTAACAGGGGTAAGACGTCTGCATATGTACACATCCCAGGTTTTGCAAGCATATATCATCGTAGATCATTAGCTCTGTTCTAAATCCTAGTTGACTTGTTAGTCTACATAAGCAGTTCACCTTTAAGACATGAAACCTCACTTTTGACTGAACTGGAACAATTGGAGCAATCCACATAAGCAGCAACTCTGCAGAAAGATTGCTGGATGTAAAAGTATGACTCAGAATTGATCCCAATAGGGTTAGCATATTGCTAAGCTTACTGTAGGGTGCCGTAGAAAGGACTTCTAAAACCCAGGAATGAGTTAGCATTTTTGAACCTCTGGACAAGCTTTTTTTGTCGAGAGAACCAGAGTGATGCTAACTTCCGGTTGACCTAAAATATTACACCATCCATGGAGCACTCTATTAAATACTCTAACAAGCATAAAAAAATCTAAATAATTTTTATTCAATATAATTGTTTTTTTTATCAGTATTGGTTACAGTTAGAACTTAAGTTATCTTGGAAGCAAAATGTTGCTGCCTACTGTCTGCAATAACAACCTTTCTGTTAGTATACTTTTGTTGATTGAAAATGTTTTCTAGCTAGGCAGTTCACTAGATTTTTGGAACAGAGCTTTTGTATATTCTCTCTATTCTTGGTTTCTTGACTGTCTTTCTGTTTTAACTAAAATGGGATAACTTAACTAAAATACATGGGATAAATTAACATGGTTCTCTTTTTCTCACTGCTGTCCACTCTTTTCAGGTATCACACTTTGGTAGCACGCTATGGCCGCCTAGTCCCACTTGCAGAGGTGGATTTGCGCCCTCTCTGCCATGTCCAGGTAGAGGTGCATTTTGGGCACCAGGCAGAACCCCTAGAGCTCAGATTGGATCAGACAGTGACAGACCTAAAGAAGCAGTTGAGGGCCGTGGTCCAGCTACCTCCAAACAAGATGCGTGTGTACTATATCGACCGGCAGCTTGGCTATGCACTAGATCCTCAGGAGATGAAATATGGAGCACGAGCACTTCATTCCTACAGTATACGAGATGGAGATGAAATCTTGGTGGTGCCCAAGACACAGTGACAGAAAAGAGAGCAACAACTGAGCACTGTTTGGAAAAAATTACTGGTTTCCAGAGTTATTGGAATACCATCTTCCAATTAAGGCAATGTGAATTCTGTGAACAGAGCACAAATGAGCATGCCTTATGTTTAGGACAAAGAAAAACTGTCAGTCTGGTTTTCCAGCATCTTCGATCTTATTTAAAAATGGTCCCTAAAAAGAGACATTGGATCAGGATTAAAAAGACCTTTTTAACTTCCACTGCTCTGCGGATGTATGTATACAAGACAAAAAATGTGTGGACTTTTCTTGTTTTGTGTGTGTGAGACTGCTTCTCAGGAATTACCCACCACAACCGCATACATGCCTCTACTCTAAAGAGTATTTTACCATTTAGTAAAGGTGCAGTATGGAGTATTTGGCCCTCTAGCAGCTGAGGGGTAAAAGTGCAAGTTACTTGCGGAGGAACATTATTTTGGTAATTATGTGAGTTGAGCTTCAGCTCAGCTCTTTAGCATGGATAAATATGATGGTTTGAGAGGTACCGGTGTACCGGTGTGCATTTTATAAGGGCAAATGTCATTATCAATATCAAAGCTAGCCCCCTCCTAAAAAAAAGAAGGAATCTAAAAAGACAGATATCCATGTCTTTTCGATGTCTTTTGAGCAGGTAACTGTCTTCCCCTGTTGTGGAAGATGATTCCTTATATGGTTTCATTTTTGAATGATTCATTGAATTTATGTTGCTCATTAGTTTTGGCCAGACGTCATGTAGCCACGCAAAGACAAATTATGTGAAAGTGACATTTCCTGCAAAATCGGAAAGTTCATAAATCAGTATTTTCAACTTACCATTGTGAATCGGGGTAACATCTTCTGACATCTTGGCTAGAATTGAAAGATATCAAAATGACTGAATACTAGTTAAAAAATATGTAGATGCAGACTGTGAATGCTTAGAGAAGGAGAGACAGGCGCCTTAGGTCTTTTGGCTGCCTGTGCCCTTAACATAGTGTTAAGGCCAGGAGATGGAATGGCGGGATGGTGGTCTGGCGGGGGGTGGGGGCATATAGAAAATGAACCCTATACTCCAGCTGTAACACCAGCCACTTCTTTTCTGCTTGAATTACAGCAGGGTCACCTACAATCCTGAAGCCTTCTAAAGTTTACACACTTTACATTCACAAAAGCAGCTCCCCGTATTATGACCTCAGACCGACTGCAATCCCCTAGTCACCTCTCTCACTGGTGGAAAGAGTCTTTGGATAGGTGCCATACTCTCACTGATGTTTAAGACAGATCATGTGCTGTTGGATTTTAAATCTGCATTTGATTATTATCATGCCTATGTTACAGAGAAGGAAAACCCAAGGGGACCAATAATAATGAAAATTAAGTTAATTTAATTTATATTGAGTAGATATACTTTTTGTTGGCTTATTATTTAAAAAAAAAAAAAAAAGGAAATGTGGAACACTGATATATTTAATTTTGACTTTGACTTTGACTTTGATTTTGATTTTTTTCTTTTAAATCTTGACATATTACAGGTTTAAAGGAAGTTGAAGATATTTTTGTTGTCATTTGTTAAGCATGAAACGTTAAGGGAAGCCATACACAAATAACCTCATTTTGTCTATTTTATAGCTTGCAAATGACTGTCAGTGTATTCTTTAAATACCTGTTCCCTTCCCAAAGAGAACAGTTTGTTGAACTTAAACCATGCCCTTTCTCAATATAAAACTAAATGGGAAATATAAATGTGTTGCACAGATACATAGTAATTTTAACATTCAGTCTTTGTGGACTTATTTTTTTAACCACAGTCAGCATATACCAGTCTATACGTTTAAGGAATTGGATTACCAGGGCTTGTCCTATTCATTCCCATACCATTTCCCTGCAGAATGGCTCTAATGTTGGAGTGACTGATATAGTATAGACTCCCTCTCTAGTTACCAAGCTGTCCCTATGCAACCCTATCCCAGCGGAAGGTGTTAACAGGGAGCTCAGAATCCATTAGGGGTTCAGATTAGCTAAAGAGGTTATATATATTAGTGCTATTGATGGGGAGAAGAGTCTGCATGGATATTGTTGTCAGATATTTAGACAGCTTCGTTTCAGTGTAACCACATATGCCACACTGATGATCTGTTATTGTCTTATCACAGAGAAGTCCAGCTTCTGTTTGCACTCTAATCTGACTCTGTTCTGCTTAAAAGTTCCATCGCTGTTTCAGTTGTGTCCTATTACTGGAAATTGAGCTTGAGTGTCATATTTTTGTCCAAATCCTATGATTATACCATATTGTTGCCACATTTATTTACTCACTCCCTGTGTAATTTTACTCTTCACTGATAATCGCAAAACCCTATAATGCCCAATTTGGATAATAATCCTGCACTATGCCAATGTCTCACTAGAACTGCATGTTTGCTTTTATTCTCATCTACAAACTGTAGTGTGTTCGCTTCCAGCATCCCCTTTATCCCATCTTTCAGCAGTGCCTGTGTCTCTACAATTTTCTCATTGCTTATATTTTGCTCTTATTGTGTTGTGGTTGTGGTGATGACACTTGATCCTCTCTGTTCTGCTCCCTAAGGACATCTGGCCTCTAACGCCAAAATGTTGTTAACAGAGCAGGTGCTGACATCTTTACTTATTGCTTGGTCTGTATAATGGTGTTTTTCAGAGTGTAAAGAGGGCCATTGGCTCGTGCCATGGATACTAATTCAGTGTTAATGATTATACGAACACTGACATGGAATATCGTTGTAAAAGTGTGTGATAAGTGTTACGAGTAATGGTATTTACGCTGAAGGAGGCTCATTGTGTGGCCAGGAAGGGGAGATGTTTTCTGAGAAGGTTGAGTTACCTGAAGGGGGCTTGACATTGTTGAGGAAAGGAAAGAAAATGAGGGCAAGGCAACTGTTTGGCATTGGATGCATCAAGGGGGTTTGGATGAAAATTAAGATATTGGATGACCCAGCCAGGGTCTAGTCCAGGGCCTTTTCCAGCTTACAGGGTCAGGCCTGGTGGACCTACCGTCAAGCAACTACAGTGTTAGTGCGTCCAACTATGCTTGAGTCCTTTCCCACGGAAATGGTTCGATGACTCCAAAGGTCCTTGTTGTACCCGATGACATTATGGTAATTCGGTCAGCCTGATTTGGATCTGCCAGGTTTGGTTGGCAGGTGGTTGATGGAGCTGACAGTTTGCGATTACATTTTATCAGACACTTGACTCCAATACCCAGAGTCCAGTCGGCTTTCACACATCCTGCCTTCCTCCAGTATCTAGTTACGTCCACTGTCCTCCTAGAAACAATGCTGAGTCTGACTCAGATCTCGCTACCATCTCCTTCCCAGACCATATCACCGTGGATGCACCAATGATTTCCCCCCTTTTTGTCGTTATCTCGCCAACGCATCTATGGAAATGAGCCCTATTTGGAGACCAACTCAGGGTTGAGTGAGCTGTTGCAAATAAGGCTGTCTTTAATTGGTGCAGGGAGCCCAGTAAGACAGGAGGGTGAGCATTGATTTACTCACACACGCACATACTTAAGAGTGTCCAAGTTGATTCATGTTAATGCGGTAACCCAAGCTCTTCTCCCTTTTTTTCAGTCAAATAAAGCAATGTTTTTCTGCTGTGTTTCCTTCTGTGAATAAATGCCCGTAGGGTGGGCCGTAGAGCCCCTGAAGAGATGCAGTGGACTGTGCACTAGTTATGGAGAGTGCTGCTATCTAGGGAATTGGGGTTCAGTCCAAAGGCCTGACATTTTCTTCAGAAATCCTCTTTGTGCTTACAGCTTTAGTTTCAATATTTCCCTTTATTTACTTACCAAACGCCACCCTTCACTGGTCCACAGATCTACCCCCCTTCTCTTATCCACTCTCTCTTTACCATTCTGCTCTTGTTCTTCGTTTTTCCCTCTTTTGAAAGTCTCAACCCCTCTCTCCATCCCCACCCCTATCTCTTTCCCTCTCCTATCCTCCCCCTTCCCCAAAAACTGATCTCAGATTAACTTTAACACTATCCCTGGTGCAAAAGGTAGCGCCTGCCTCTGATGCGTCTCCCTCCAGTAGAGCCATACAGGGAACCCACACGCTCACTCCTCCTCTGTCCTTTCATTCTGGGATCACTTTCTCCAGACTTTTGCTCTTTGAAATCAAGCGTACCCTGAGGCACGGATTGGGCCGTGTTTGCCATTCTTGTCCTTGGCGGTTGTCCGGTGGAATTAGACCAGCACAGCGCTCTGTGTGAGTGGAGGATTTAGGAGGGTTTTTCTGGGCAGTCTCCCCTCCCTTTTCTGCATCCAAGAGCAGTGCCCCTCCACTCTTGAGACTGCGTTGATGGTACCCACTTGGATGTGACTTAGAGGTTGATGCACAGGTGACGTGCTGAACTTCCGTCCTATGAAGGCAGGTGAGTGCTGAATTCTTAGTTGTGGTCTCTGAACAGGAGCTCTTGGTGTTTTGTTCTTGTTTTCTTATGACAAATTCACTGTCTTTTACTCCTTGTCACTTTTTCACAAGTGATGTTCAGGTGCTCTCTACCTCTTTTACACCTCCCTTCCCTCTCTTTGTTTTGGAAACACACTTTGTGCGTGAAAATGTAAATGATAGGCTTTAACTTCCAATCGGTAACTAAGTAATTTTGATAACATCTATCATTGGTATTAATGCCAGTCGTCAGACAGGCAGCTTGTTTGAGATCGGTTTCTGAGAGGTTAGCCAAATGAACTCTGCCAGTCTATGTAATGTGATGTGGAGAGCAATGGATTTACCTGTTGGCATCTCACACAGTATCTCATGGTTCACTTGGGAATCCCATCAAATGCCAGTTTTGTCTGTGCTGTGGTTTCATGACGGAAGATGTTATACAGGACATTGTCCAAAATACATAGGTTCTATTCAGGAGACTGGATTTCAGTTATGTTGGAAGGTGGATATTCTTTCTCATTTGACAATAGGAAGAAATAGTACACTTAAGACTATGACTTAAGGATCCATTCCTAATTCAAGCAGCTTGAATTAAAATTTACGGTTGTTTCCATGCCAATTTTAGAATGTTATAATTAATGGCATCCTGATATTGTTTGCATTGAAATGTAATGTCATATTTTCTAGAAAAAAACCTAGTAGTAACTATGTTTTTTCTTCTGGCTAATTTCTTGCATTTTTTAATTAAATTAATTTCAGACTGATTTTTTATTTAAGTTAGGAAACTTTTTTTACTGTATGATAGTTTTATGCAACAGCGCAATGCTACATTTAATTTGCTAATGCTGGATATTTATCTTACTAGGCAAAGGCACAGATCATCCGATTCCTTTTCTAAGGTTTAAACATTGTATGAAATATGAAAAATTTAATTAGACTTACATTTGATAACATGTCCTGATTAATTGAGCTATGATGACATTGTGAGCTTTGGTACGTTTTGTTGAGTCAAATCTGACAACATAATTCTGGATTTGTGATACTATGAAGAGCTTACATAATTAACAATAGGCAAGGCAATGTAATTGTGTGTTTTTTCCCCAATACAACTAAATTATATAACATTATACATTTTCTTGCCATACACATGACATATAAGTTAAATACTAATTATTTAATAACACACTAGACCTTTTGGGTTTGCATTTGAGTATTAGGTAGTTTATTTTAAGACAAGTTTTCTGTGGAGTCAAGGACCCTTAAGACTGAATTATACTGGATGTATCAGTTTAATCGAGTTTTGCTTGCTATTGCTTACTATCTGTTTTGTCATTGCACTTTCTAAAAGGCATTTGGTCCTCCTCATCAAAATATAGGTCATCCTAAAACTTTTCCAATTGAAAGTTTTACCATCAGAATAATTTTTTATCCTTATCATTTCCATCATCTGATATTTGAGAGGTTGTCCATTTATTTTGGCACACTAAGGCTAAGTGAATCTAAAGGGAGTGAAACCCAAACTTCAGCCCCTCAGGGTTGCCGTAAAGACCCTGGCAACTCAAGCCTGCTAAATTAAACCCATTAGCCTCACTGTTCACAGCCCTTTCTCTGATGCCAACAAGTCATAACACATAAACACTTAGTAATGGACCCTTCAGACGATGGAGAGGAGCAAGGCAAGTTCTCCCAACCGCGGGCTCATTGGCACTGTGGAGGCCTGGAACTGCATCACCATAGCCCACTCACACGGTAGTGCTGGAGAATGTGATCCCAACACATTGTTCCCCATCACATAATAGAACCTTTTCAGCTCAGGGCGAACAGGCCCACCATGGAAAGAGAGAAAGGGGCAGAATGCCCTCATGGGAGACCTGGGAGCCTGCTCTTTAAACCAGGGAAGATTGGAGACAAATGTGTCTTGGCCTAGTTGTTTATTTCTTTAAATAGGTTTATTATCATGCAATTGTTTAAATATTATACAATTAATGTTTTTAATCTTAAAATAACTTATGTTTGGAGAGCTGGTGGCACTACAACATCACTTCTGTTTTGTGATGAATATTTCAATGTTTCTCAGGTGTTTAGGATGGTCAGAACAGGCACTTTAGTCTCTCTTCTCCAGCTCTTCAGCACCCTTGCTCCCAGAGGAGGTAAGTGATGTCCACTCTGTACTACCTATAAACTCTCTCCTGCCTCCACAACACCTCACGAGCATTAGATGTAACAGTGATTAATGGACAAAAAGAGCCAAGGCACTGAATAAAGAGTCAAACAATAAGTAATCATGTAAAAAAGACTACAGTCTTTTGATGTAAGAACCCAAAACCTTTTCCAAGTCTGTGTAAATGACTTCATCATTCTGAAAAGTATTTTCAGATTTCAATAGGCATACAGCTTATGATGTACCACATCTATGCAAAAAGACACATCACTGAATTTAAATTTTTTAAATCCATTCTTCACAATCTGTCCAAACACCCTCACAGGGCCAACTGATCAATGCCTTTTAGCATTTCTTTGTCCACATTTCCTTTTCCCCTGCTTAGCTTTTTCTCAGGATACCCTCTACCCCTTTGGACCAGCTCACAGGGATTTAGAAACCCCTAAGATGGATGATGGCAGTTCTTCAGAGATTCCACTACTAATTCCGTTCATATTCTTAAATGTGCCTTATAGGTCCCTTTATGTAAGTGTCCAAAATATTCAAGAGAACTGTGAGAAAAATCTGCCAAAATATCAATGCAATATCTTAGCTGTTCAATTCAGCAGTGAATTGTGTAACAGCACACCATCTTACATTTTCCAATAGGTCAACAACAATGGAGTGATCTCCTTCAACATTCAGGTGAGTCAATTCACTCCAGAGGCTTTTCCCCTCAGTGACAGCCGTTGCTTCATTGCCCCTTTATGGGCTGACGTGCATAATGGTATCCGTGGGGATGTGTACTACCGTGAGACAACAGACCCAGAGACCCTGGAGAGGGCCACTCAGGATGTCAGAAAGTATTTCAAGAATATGGTGTCCTTCACTGCCACCTGGGTCTTCATTGCTACCTGGAATCAGGTCACCTTTTATGGAGGCAGCCAGACAACGCCGGTGAGTCAAAGAGTTTTATTTGCATGACCAATGTCAAAACTTTGCTAATGAGCAGCATTTACTGTGTGATCACCACAGTAATCACCACCACCACAACAAAATCATTCTTTTTTTCTTTTCAGGTAAATACATTTCAGGCAGTTTTGATCTCCGATGGACAAGCTTATTTTGCTATGTTTAACTATGGAGAGATCAGCTGGAGCACAGGCACGGCTAGTGGAGGAGACCCTCTTACGGGCCTGGGAGGAACCACAGCACAGGTAGGCTAATCTTGAAAATCTCATCTGTTACAGTCAACAGTTGTTACAGAGGTTGCTGTAGTTGTTACAGGGTTGTTCTGGTTCTTTGCATCAGATAGTTCCCTGAGAAATGTTTTCACCCTCTGTTTTCAACATAATTGATCTCTTTATCATTCTCTGCTATGATTGCCCTCTCTAGGCAGGTTTTAATGGTGGAGATGTCAGCCATTTCTTCAACCTTCCCGGATCACGCTCGAATGAAGTGGTCAACATTGAACAGACCACTAATGTTAACGTGCCTGGACGGTGGTTCTTCCGCATTGATGCTGACCAGATAGACCCAGTAAATGGCTGCAGCTACATTGGTACAACAAAAACTATATAGTTATAGTTTTATAATGTTTTCATGGTATTTGATACATTAAATTAATATTTTACTCCTATGTTAATTGTGTGCTCCTTGTTTATTTGCCATGAACACTTTTTATTCAACATGTTCCGCTCATGCCCTATCTTACACTTATCTTTTTCTGTCTCCACAATCTTTTTTTTTTCAGGGCGGTTTTACCGGCGTGGGGAGGTTTTCTGGTTATCAGACCAATGCACTCAGCGATGCAGGTGTCTTGATCTGGATAATGAGGTCATCTGCCAAGAAACTCCATGTGGTCAGTTAGAAACCTGTGAACAGGTGGAGGGGGCTTACTACTGCCAGCCTACCCGTACCAGCACCTGTGTGGTGTTTGGAGACCCCCACTACCACACTTTCGATGGATTTCTTTATCATTTCCAGGTGCAGTACAGGGTTAAAATCCTATTTCCATAAAAATAGTCAGTAATAGTTCATTCTAATAATAATGGGTGAATAGGTGACTTGTTCTCCCCTGAATGTTGCATTCAAAAGTACACTTGGCTCACTGATGATTCTGGAAATAGTTAAGTATGAAATTTCCAAACCAAGAAATATAACAAAAATATAAGGATCATCATATTTCACACATTGAGTTTATAAGATATCCATTATCAGAGGTTATGCTAGATGCCAAAGCTCTTGTAAGTTTATCCTATCACAAGCTGAATATCATGCTGATCACCTGTGTTTTTTTTGTTTTGTTTTTTTGCTTTGTATAGCACTGTAGGCTAAAACTATGTGATTTCTTTGATCTCTCATCCAGGGCACTTGCTCATACCTGTTGGCTCGTCCATGCTGGGAAATGCCTGGTTTGCCCTTCTTCAGTGTGGAGGCCAAGAATGAGAACCGTGGTGTGACCACTGTGTCCTGGCTACGGGATGTGACAGTAGAGGTGTACAACCACCGTGTCACACTTCCCAAAGGGACTCTGGGAACTGTGCAGGTCAGCTTTCTTCATGTTTCAGTCCTTTAAATTTGAAGCTGTTACTCCTACTAAACTGACCAACTGTGCAATCGGTATGAATAGCAGCCTAGTAGATTAAATTGTTCTTGCAGGACACAGGCAATATAACCTTTCTCAATGTCTTTCACTTTGTGTTTCTGTTGTTACAGGTGGATGGCTTGATAAAGACTCTCCCTGTTCAACTTCAACTAGGCGCTGTCAAGGTATACCAATCTGGCGTTGCTGTCGCTTTGGAAACAGACTTTGGTCTTTTGGTGACCTATGACGGATTGCACTACGCCTCCATCTCCCTCCCCAGCTCTTATTTCAACAACACTTGTGGTCTATGTGGTAACTACAACGATGACCCCGCAGATGACCCCGTGTTGCCAGATGGCTCTTTGGCAGAGAGCGTAGTGGAACTGGGTGGTAGCTGGCGAGCTGAGGACACAGATTTTCGTTGTACAGATGGCTGTGCCCAGAATTGTAGCATGTGTGAACCGGCAGCCGAAGCGTTCTACTTTCGCTCAGACTACTGTGGGCTGATCAATAAGACTGATGGGCCTTTCAGAGACTGCAGAGCTGTGGTAGACCCCACAGCATTTGTGTACAGCTGTGTTTATGATATGTGCAGCAATCGTGATAACATCACCACCCTGTGCCAGGCTATACAGGCATATGCACTTGCATGCCAGGCCTTGGGAGTCACTATACGACCCTGGAGATCACGCTCGTTCTGTGGTGAGTGATATCAGGTGTGACCTTAAGGTTAATTTTATGTCAATAAAGTCCAGACATCGTAGAGAGCTCTTTTAGAGGTTAAATCAAGTACACATTATTTAATCCTTTTCTCACTTTCTATCATAAATACGTTCTTTCTATGTTCTCTTTTCCACTGACCTTGCATTTTTCCATTTGCCATCGGCTCTTAGCATTGACATGCCCTGAAAACAGCCACTACCAAGTCTGCACGAGTGCATGTCCTGCCTCCTGCTCCGACCTGACATCTCACCTCTACTGTACCCATCCATGCACTGAGGGCTGCCAGTGTGACCAGGGCTATGTGCTTAGTGGCAGCCGATGCGTCCGTCGCTCTGAGTGTGGATGTGAACGTGACGGTCTGTACTATGCCCTAAATGAGACCTTCTGGGCAGGGGAAGGGGGTGAGGTGGGTGAAGAATGCTCCCAGCGTTGTGTGTGTGGCCCAGCAGGTGAAGTAACATGCTTCAGTGACTCTTGTGGTGAAGGCGAGGTGTGTGTAGCAGAAGTTGGGTTGTTGGGATGTTACCCTCGTCGTGAAGCAGTATGTTCGCTGTCTCAGTCTCAAATACTGGCTACGTTTGATGGGTCCACAATGTCGTTCCCTGATGAGAGCTCATTCTACCTGGTGAAGACTTTGGGACGCTTGCCTGCAAATGTTACATCAGTGGAGGTGAAGATTGGCAGGAAGCTGGGGAATAAGGGCCCTACATGGCTACGGCCAGTAGTCGTTAGGGTGGGACATTTGGAAGCACAGATAGGTGGCTTGGATTTTGACATGATAAAGGTTTGTGGTGACTTTCATATCCTCTAATCTGCAAAAAAAAGTGTCAGTTCCCGTCTGTGAAAGATGAAAGATGTGAAGATACTTACTATAGACACTTCACTATAGCAATATCATTACTTGTACAGTAGCTTTGATTGTTCCTCAATATATTCTCACATATTGTTCAGACCAAGTTATCTGATTGTATGACATGCTGATGACGTTGAAACTCTCCTCTCCACTCAGGTCAACGGTGAACCAGCTATTCTTCCTTACGTCCATCCAGTGGAGCCTTTAATGATATACCGGTCCTCTGGTAATGCCACGGTGATTGAGTGGAGTGGTTTAGTCCGCACCCGATACTCACGTCAGGGCCTGCTAAACATCACTCTCTCCACCCTCTTTTACAACACCACCTGTGGTCTTTGTGGTTTCTTCAACGGAGATCCAATTGATGACCTCCGTCTACCTAGTGGAAGGCAGGCCGATACACCCGAACAGTTTATTGAAGGCTGGAGAGCCATTGCGGATGATCTGACATGCAATGGCGACTGTGAGGACTTGTATCGTATGTGTACAGATTTAAGGCTGTACAAGAGCCCGTGGCTGTGTGGAAACATCAATGACCCAGGAAACAGCTCGTTCCTGGCTTGCCACACAGCTGTTAATCCCTCTCCTTTCTTCAGGAACTGCCTCTACAACATGTGTGTGATGGAAGGAAACCGTTCTGCCCTGTGTAACTCCCTCCAGGCATATGCTTCAGCTTGCCAGGATGCGCAGATCAACTTGGGAGCCTGGAGGAGTGCTACCAACTGCCGTAAGAGTGTTGGTTGTTTCTCTCTTTTACCATTTTCAGCACCTTCTATCCCTTTCATATAGTTTCCTTTTTCTTTCTTTCTTTAGCTCTTCCCTGCCCAGAAAACAGTCATTTCGATGAGTGTACATCTGCATGCCCTCTCACTTGCTCTAACTTGGATGATCCTGAGGAGCCATGCCCTATACTCTGCTCAGAGGGCTGCCAGTGTGAAGAGGGATTTGCCCTCCGTGATGGCATCTGTGTGGCACGTAGCGACTGTGGCTGCTTCTACCTGGGCCACCAGCTAGCCACCAATGAGACATTATGGACAGACTGGGAGTGCCAGGAGCGCTGCTACTGCAACGGCACAGACAACAGTGTCTACTGCACCTTCTCACCCTGTCACCCAGAGGAGTACTGCCAGGAGAATGAAGGCCTGTTTTTCTGTCAGCCAAGGACAGTGGCCATGTGTGTTGTTGCTGGTTATGGACACTTTTTGCCATTTGGAGGTGTACCATTTGACATCCAGAGCAGCTGTACTCTTCGTCTGGCCACTACTGAGTGTGGAGAGGGGGACGAGGAAGGCTTTGGGGGACTAGACAGTGCAGAGACAGTTCTGGGAGGACTGCCCAGGTTCCAGTTTTCAGCTCGGAATGAAGAGAGAGACACAGCCCAGGCTATATGGGTGTGGGGATTTGTTCTGGAGGTCTATGGATATGAAATTGAGGTGTCACGAAGTTTCAAACACACAGTCACGGTAAGATTGTCCTGAGCTATGTGTTGAGATTATGAATAATATGAATCTTATGCTTTTGTTCGCTTTGTTTTAAACAGGTCCATGTCCAAGAATTGTAATTGGCATACAACTCAATATCAATTTGAGTGACACAAATAGCATGTTCATATTTGTGTGTACAGATGTGATCCAGCAGCCAAAGCTGATTTGGATCAGTACAAAATTCTGCACCTGCACCTGAAACAGACAGCTACTGATACAATTTTTGTCCATTTGCATGAGTGGCAGACATTTTATAATCACAAGAATTCATCTGTAATTCTAGAACACCACCTTTTGAAGGTCAAACTCCTCATTTTTATGACACAAAGTTATTTTAATCAACCAGACAGAAGAGCTAAACAAATCAGTAAATTTTTTCAGGTGAGGGGTATAATATTTCAGCCAGCATCTGTTAGCACACTGGAGCAGATACAGAGGAAAACTTGTAACCGAGTGACGTCTGGAATGAGTTCACAACACCACTGAAAGATCTGAGGAACTTTAGATCACATAAAGATTGAGGGGAGAAGAAAACCAAGTTAGAAAATGAGAGATGGAGGGAATCATCATGAAACTGGCTTTTGAACTCTGTTAGATAATATAGATAGACGATGAACAACAAATGGATAAAATGAGATTATATAAGAAGCAAAGCCAGAAGATGAGACTGAAAGGGATGTATTATGTACTAAACAGTTTTGATTGCTATATTGAAACAAATGTCAATGTTTTACAGTATTTATCTCTTTTAGGTGAATAAAGAGCGCCTGTATCTGCCTATAAAACTTGGTCCAGGGAAAGTTAACATCTACACCCTTGGTCTGCAGTTACTTGTGGAGACAGACTTTGGTCTGAAGGTGGAGTACGAATCAAAATACATATTGCAAACCACTTTTTGCTTGTAAAACACATTCTGTACAACTTTACAACATTATCCACTGTGTAAGCTAATACACAGTTAATACCTCTACAGGTGGCTTTTGATTGGAATACTCTACTGCTTCTGACTCTTCCTCGCAGTCTATTTAACGCCACCTGTGGGCTCTGCCAAGGAATGCCCATTACTGGTCCCGCACTAAGTGTCACAGAATGGGGCATGGCATGGGCAGAACGTGACACCTTCTGCCAAGTGGGTTGCGGGGACTCTTGCCCTCGCTGTGGATTGGCTGAGAGGGGCCTAGCTGCTGAGGTCCCCGCCCAAGTAACAGATGCTGTTGGTGACATGGATAACGGTAACCCAGGAAACCGTTTCCACCTTGCTGAAGGGCTGTATGTGTATGTCGAACCTGAGGCGGTGAGATTATGTGGACTTATAATAGACCGCGGAGGTGTGTTTGCACGCTGTCACAGCAAAGTGGCACCAGCATACTTCTACCAGAGCTGTCTGCAGGATACATGTGTAGATCAAGGTGCGAGAGAGACCATCTGTAATTGGCTACAGATTTATGCCAGTACCTGTCAGACACAAGGAGTATCTGTCATTGGCTGGAGAAGTTCCACACCTTGTGGTGAGACATATTTTATGTTTATTTAAGTTTATTTACTCATATGTCACAATCTTGTTTTGCATAAAAATTCATAGTGCTTTCTAAGGCAAGCATCACAACTATTATTTCTCATACTTGAGGTTAGGGGTTTGTCCTACAGTAAATTGTGTGGATTATTAAGAGAAAGATGTGCAGTTAATTTTCTAAGTGATCAGAGAAAAAACATAGACTTACAATGGAGGAGGAACTGGACTCATGTCTAAAAATTTTAATATCATAGAGACATGAGGGTGGCCTCTTTTGACTTAGACCATTAAACAGCCACTTAACCAGCCAAATGCCCTAGCAATGTTGGGCAAGCACCATGCATATTTTCTTCAGGAAATAATAGATTTGAAATTTTAGAAAGATTTATGAGGCTGCTATGAAAAGTATTGTCATTTTCATGCATTTAGATGCAAATTGTTTGCACTTCTAGGGCTGACATGAAAACACTATTGTAAAACCTCTTAATGCTTGGTGTTATGCTGGTTAACCACAAACCATGGCTTAATTTACAAATGTTCTGTTTTGCCAACATAAAAACTACAAGACATTTTATCACAATCAAAGCCCCATGAATGCCACACATTCATATAAGCCCTTTACAGTGAAATACAATACATCCTCCCCTTTACTTCTGGAGAAGCTCACCCGTCCAATGAACTCTGTGTGTGCCCAGTGCTGTCGTGCCCCGTGAACAGCCACTATTCCAGCTGTATGATGGTGTGCCAGCCGCAATGTGCCCCTGCACGTGGACAGAAAGACTGTAACCAGTACTGTGTTGAGGGGTGCCAGTGTGACCAAGGCTATGTGCTCAACGGCAAGAGCTGTATCCTCAGTCAGAACTGTGGATGCTACACGGATGGTAAATACTATGAGGTAAGACAGCATGTCACAAAACTAGACAAAGCCAATACATCTAATAAAATAAACCAATACAATAACCCGATCTTAAAAGCATGCAGTACCAAAATACAATACCAATTTTTTTATTTTATTTAACTGCCCCTCTTTTTTTCTGTATCTAATCAGTTTACCTAGGAAACACATTTTAAAAGACCTGTTTTTGAGTACACATTGTCTTGTTACATTGGAATTGTTTTTCATTTAAGCTAAAAACAAGTCACAAAATGTATTATTATATATTAAGAAATAATAAATAATAAGACTTAATTCATTATTAAGCGTGTGTGCTCCATAAAAGTTATAAGAGTGATAAAAGTTAAAGAAAGACTGAATTTAGTATTATCAATTATCAACCACCCTGGACACCCTAGAAGCCAAAAATTAACATACTTTTGTATGGGTAAGTGTTTTCACTCTATTTTCTCTGTCTCTAAGCCTAAGCAGTTGTTCTGGAACAGTGACTGCACTAAACGCTGTCAGTGTATTGGACGGAATCTGATTCAGTGTGACCCACGGCGATGTAAAGCAGAGGAGGAATGCATCCTACGTCATAGTGTGCGAGGATGCTTTGCCCGACGTAATCAACACTGTGTGGCATCAGGCGGTGGCGTCTTCCGTACTTTTGATGGTGCCTCTCTTCGTTTACCTGCCTCATGCTCCTTTGTTCTTTCAACGATCTGTCACAAGCTGCCTGAGTTATCTTTTCAACTCATTGCCAATTTTGACAAGTGGAGTACACCCAACCTAACCACCATCTCCCATGCTTACCTCTACATCAACGAGGAGAACATTCTCATCTCTGGAAACACAGTTAAGGTAGGAACATCGAAATTGTACTGTAAGTTATGTATGGGACATGACATGACATCACTGTGAAGTGGTCTAGAATTTCCTAGGAGAATTTAAAGAAGAAAACTGGTATTTGAGTATGAACATTTCTCAACTCTGGCCCTTGAAGTCCACTCTCCTGCAGAGTTGAACTCCAACCCTAATCAAACACACCTGAACAAGCTAATAAAGGTCTTCAGGAGGATTACTAAAATGTTATAAGCAGTTGAGTTTGTAGGAGACATTTAATGTCTTAATCATTACATAATAATTTCATAGTCAACATATAAAAAGAAATGTCAAAATCCATCCTCTAATGCTAGCTCCAGTCTCCACTTTCCGGTAGAGCAGGGCTGGGCAACTTCGGTCCTGGAGGGCCACTGTCCTGCAAAGTTTACCTCCAATCCTAATCAAACACACCTGTCTGTAGCTTTCTAGTGATCTTGAAGACATTAGCTTGTTCAGGTGTGTTTGACTGGGGTTGGAACTAAACTCTGCAGGACAGTGGCCCTCCAGGACCGAAGTTGCCCAGCCCTGCTCTACCGGAAAGTGGAGACTGGAGCTAGCATTAGAGGATGGATTTTGACATTTCTTTTTATATGTTGACTATGAAATTATTATGTAATGATTAAGACATTAAATGTCTCCTAGCTAAATGCTAAGTGTTTTCCTCTTTTACCTCAGGTAAATGGTACGCCCGTGTCCGTACCTTTTGTCACAGGTCTAATGACACGAGTATCCACATCAGAGGGATTCCTGGTGATCGACACTCCCCAGGACATCCAGGTGCGTTATAACCGATTCAACACCCTCAGCATTACAATGGGCCCACGGCTGCAGAACAAGGTGTGTGGACTGTGTGGGAACTTCAATGGGGACCCCACTGATGATTACATCACCTCTCGTGGAAAACCTGCCGTCAGTGCACTGGAGCTGGCTCAGAGCTGGAAAACCAACGGCATGCAGAACAGGTTTATATTTATCACTCATCTCGGTAGTTTCACCCTGTCCTCTTTTCATTGCCACTCATTTTCTATCCTCCATTGTCTGACTTTTGCCTGTAGTTGTGATGAGACGCAGTATGTGGCCCTGGCTCAGTCCTGTGATAATACAGCAGTATCAGAGCTCCAGGGAGAAGACAACTGTCTGAAGCTCACAGATTTGAAAGGTTTCTTCCAGCCCTGCCACGGCCTGCTGGACCCTCACCCCTTCTACCAGTCTTGTTACATGGACGGCTGCTACAACCACCGTAGGGCCCAGGTGTGCGGCTCGATGGCAGCCTACGCTGAGGCCTGCCGCTCTTTCGGCACACTTACCACCAAGTGGATCGCCCAGGAGAACTGCTGTAAGAGGACGCTGCCACCTACTGGATAAGATGGCGAAGTGTAGAAAGCGATAGGCAGCACAGCTCAATTGTCATTTTTAGAAGTACATTTTACATGTATCTGGAAAATAAATGTATATTTATTTTATTATTTTTATTATTGTTATTATTTATTTTATTATGATTTGTTCCAGCTTCCAAGACTATCACAAGTCATTTTCACAATTTTGACAAAACAGATATTTTATTAGAAACGTTCTGTGCTAACTTTGTAACTGGACCTGTCTTTAGCAGAATGGATCTATGACCCCTGTGCAGGAGAGATTTGCTCGAACAACACATGTGAGCAGGAGAATGGAGGAGATCTGTGTGGCTGCCCTGAGCTACCCAGCACTGAAATTAGTGAGTAAAAGAAGACATATTGTGGCAGAAATACATTTAAATCCTTTGTAGGGTCTCTTTGAAGTTCTTATTATCATTCATTATCAAACCCATTCACATTATCCTGTACTAGTTACCTTTTATGTTATAGTGGCAGGCTAACTGCTAAATTAAAAGGTCATATTATAAACTGGTATGAAATATTGAGAAAAGATCTTATATCTTGTACCTTTTGGCGTAGGTGAGGATGACATAATCCAGGCAGAGGTGACCTGTAAACACGCTCAGATGGAGGTTTCTATCTCTAAGTGCCGTCTGTTCCAGCTGGGCTTTGAGAGGGAAGACGTACGAATTAACGACCAGCACTGTGCTGGTATCGAGGGAGAGGATTTAATCTCCTTCCATATCAACAATACCAAGGGACATTGTGGCTCTATTGTACAGGTGAACAAATCCCTCCTTTCCCTCATTAACAGTTGTTCAAGATCAGACTGTCTCAGTTTAGACAGTATGAGCTCTGCCTCTTGAGAGAGTAGAAAGTAATGGTTCTGGTAAAGAAAACGTACTGTTCCATTTCCATACAAGTGAATACAAGCAAAGAAGTTTAGGTTTGGTGCACATCTGCGCAAAGACATTCGAGCAATAACTTAGACCAGTGGTTCTCAACTCCAGTCCTCGGGACCCACTGCTCTGCACATTTTGTATGTGTCTCTTGTCTGACACACTCAGTTCAGTTCATGGATCTCTCTCCTAATGAGCTGATGATCTGAATCAGGTGCGTTAAATAAGGGAGAACCACTGGCTTAGACCATCTAGGACCAGCTTAAGCAGGTTTAATATGTATTCGTTTCACTGTTGTCTGTGCCTCACAAACTAGTCATCTAACATCCCAAAAAGTTTTTTGGCATTACACATTCATAATGTACATTTTTCTAAAGTGTATAGATTTACCTTCTGTGAAACCAATTTCCGACGAAATCTGAGGCATTTTCTTGCAGATCCTGCTGCCACCTTGTGATGAGTTCAATGAAGAGCCTTCCAATATGGTGGACGGAACAGACAAAAATAATATTATCAATTAAATTTTTTGAGTCTAAATGGAAATGGTTCCATATGATTGCAATGCATTATTTAAGAGTGTGCTGTGTTTATGCTTATTTGAGTATTAAATCATCAAGTTTGAAGTTTGAACAGTTTATATTAACATTACAACGAGTCTCTCTCGGTTTGCGTCGTGAGCAAGTGGCCGTTTATGAAGTGCGTCCCAAATACCATTTAAGCAGGAGTGCTTGCTTTTGAGTGAAAGTGCTGTGTAGTCGGCAAGTTAGGTTTTAGTTTAGATAAAATAATAGAGTTTTTGGAGTTAAGCACCGTTTTTAATCATTAAACCATCCATAATTCAAAATGAGCTTAAGTTAGTCTTATGCTTTGACAAATATTCCAAAGGAATTTAAGGACAAAATAGTCTCATTGGTGCTCACTGGTCTGCTGTATAAGATTATTAAATGTTTCCTAATTTAGTTCTAAATTACTCAGGTTGGTACACAATGGTAACACTTTAGAATAATGGTCCGTTGTTAACAAGTAACTATGCAGGAAGTAATAGGTAGTACTACATTAACACTTAACTTAATACTATTAACTAATAGAGAAGCAAGATTAACTAAGCAGTAAGTAGTAGCAAATTTAGGACAAAGGTAGTTCCTTATTAGATATTTGATAATTATTAAATAAAAATATCCTCATTGAGAACTACTTGCAAACTATGACCAGTTAATAAAGAATAACCAATTAATTACTAATCACAACAGTAACATCTTAAAAGTGAACAATTGTAGGACAAAGGTAGTTCCTTATTAGATATTTGATAATTATTAAATAAAAATATCCTCATTGAGAACTACTTGTGAACTATGACCAGTTAATAAAGAATAACCAATTAATTACTAATCACAACAATAACGTCTTAAAAGTGAACAATTGAGTTCTTTGTGGAAACTAATTTATGAATTTGATATCCCCCAAAGTCGGCTACATTTTAAAATTGTGACTACTACTCTTACCAAAAGATGGATGTTCAAACTTAAACATAGAATAATAATAAAAATGAAAATTCACTTAAAAATGTTAATAATTAAGAAGTGATGCTGACAAGCTCATGATTGAATTAGTTCACAATTATGATCTCTGCTTCGTGTCAGTTCAGTATCAATGTATCCCACTCCAAAAGACCTACTGGTAAAATATCACTAGTGCTTCAAACAAATGTATGACTGTACAGTATGTCAGATATAAAATATGTTAAATAACTTATTAAATTACTTAGTAATTACTGAGTGGTTAAGGTGTTTTTCACTTTAAAATAATGGTCCAGATCACTAGTAGTTCCTGCAGGCTGACAAGGTAACGCTTGAGTAATTAGTGAGAGGCTAATGTATTTTTCACTTTAAAGCTAAAGTGCTACTAAGGAACTACTAGTGATCTGGACCATTATTTTAAAGTGAAAAACACCTTAACCACTCAGTAATTACTAAGTAATTTAATAAGTTATTTAACATATTTTATATCTGACACATACATTTGTGTGAGGCACTAGTGATATTTTACCAGACACTGTAATCTGGAATATGCGGTTTTGTGCTTAACACAATATAAATGCAGGCGATGATCATTAAGGATGTGAATTGTTTTTGTCAAGAGAACCAATGAATTACTAATCACAACAGTAACATCTTAAAAGTGAACAATTGGGTTCTTTGTGGAAACTAATTTATGATACTGCTTAGTTAATCTTGCTTCTCTATTAGTTAATAGTATTAAGTTAAGTGTTAATGTAGTACTACCTATTACTTCCTGCATAGTTACTTGTTAACAACGGACCATTATTCTAAAGTGTTACCCACAATAAATGTTGAAATTGCTTTCCAAATATGTTTTCAAGAAAGGTCTTTTGCAACTAATCATTTAGACTTTCAGATTTACAGCAGAAGATACTTTTCATTCAGATAGATTTTCATTGTATGCATATTTGATGTGCTGGTTGCTTGGCTGAATATGTTATTCTCAGTGGAAAGGTAATTAAATTTACAGTAACTTTTATGTGTGTTTGTGTGTGTGTATTTGTGAGTCCAGTCAAATGGAACACATATTATGTACAAGAACACGGTGTGGATCGAGAGTGTGAACAACACAGGGAATGTAGTGACACGTGATAAGACCATCAACGTGGAGTTTTCTTGTGCTTATGAACTGGACATCAAGATCTCGCTGGAGACAGTATTGAAGCCAATGCTCAGGTCAGCTGTGACACATTCACCCCTTACAAAAAACTACCACAGTATTACATACAGTGCTGGCGGTAACGCGAGTTACGTAATCAGATTACTTTTTTCAAGTAACTAGTAAAGTAACGCATTACTTTTTAATTTACAAGAGAATATCTGAGTTACTTTTTCAAATAAGTAACGCAAGTTACTTTTTTTTCCAATTTATTGATTGACAATTGACAAGCTCTCCTGTCCCAGGAGCAGATGATAAACAGCTTATTCTCATTGTTAACATGTGCTGGGCTACACCATCTCGTTACAGCAGCGATCGCCTTCGTTACATTATCATAGAGAGAGGGTAAGAAAATAGCTTATAAAAAACAACCATTTCAGTCCATATTTAACATAACATATTACAAATACTGTTCAGAAGAGGACTACACACCCATATACATACCAATGCGTCTACAGCTCTCACATAGCATAACTGTAATTCCAGGTGTCCTAACATCAAGGATAACACTATAGGCATGGCTGAGAATGGCGTGTCCCTCACCTGCCGCTTCCACGTCACTGTCTTTAAGTTCATTGGTGATTACGATGAGGTGCATTTGCACTGTGACGTCTCTCTGTGTGACTCAGAGACCAACGCTTGCAAAGTGGTGAGAGCTTGTACACACACACGCATCGACAAACACCTTTTTTATTTCATGTTTAGTCGTTTTGCCATTTAAAACAATAGTGACAATGGTAAAGGGGGTTGGTTCATAATGTGCCACTAAAACATGGCTTGAAATGAAAAATTCAAACATGATTTAATGTAGATATGGTTCGCTTGTTCATCTCTCCATCAGTCATCTTGAAGAACTGCTTCTTTTGGATTTGCAATGACCTTTTGCTTTTACAGAATTGCCCTCATAACAAACGAAGTTATACGGATTACAGTCAGCATAAAGAACAGATCCTGTCAGTGGGACCAATCAGAAGAAGAGGTAGGCTACGGAGTGTAACTTAGATTTGTGCATGAGTGCATGTCCTGAGAGTATGTGTATGCAGTGTTCGAACTATACCGTGGACTTTGGGGGAGCCCACGTGTTTTTGTTTTTTTATAACGGGGGGGGGGCACAAAAGAGGGCTTACAATGACTTACAAAGATACATAACAGCTACAAGTGTATGCACTACTTGCTTTATGCAAGCACTATATAGGATAAATCACTATACAGGATTTACCCTATTATACTTTATCGACACGAATTGATAGGTGAAACAACGGCCAGCCACCCACAAATAGTCTATAAACAAAGCGCCAGGCTGTCTTTGAGGTCACATGAATAACGGTTAAAGTTACTCGTCGTCAGGCTACAGAGGAATACCATAATTCCTCCGTTCAATTAGGCCTAAAACATCGAGAGTCAGGTAGACCTATAACAACCCAGCCACAACACTTAATTGCGAATAACATGCCTTAACACAGAATCGACCACAGAGTCCAGCGTTTATATTTTTTCTACGAATCTTTGGGTTAACATGTACTAAACATGAGTGGAATTTGCACCGCAGCGCCCCCACACCTTGATGCTCATGACAAGAATAGCATGTATAGTTATCTTTATTGAAGTGAATTAGGTTTAAATCGCCGTCATGCATGAATGAATGATATTTTTGCAATTTTACACATAATAATCCACGATGATCACATTACACAAAACTGAAATTGCACGTCAAAATAACACATTGTCAATATTTTTTGAGACCCCCCCCAAAATTTCACAAATCCCGTTTTCATGGGAAGCCCATGTCTTATTAAGGGGAGCCGAGCTCCCCCTAGCACCCCTGTAGTTCGCACCCTGTGTGTATGTGTGCGGAATGTGTGTGTAGTTTAATAGTGGAAGCAATAGGATGTGGGTGTATAATTGGGTGTTTTGTGTATATGCATATTAGCAAGGTGATTACAGCTATAACAGTGTGTGTGTATGTGTGTTTTAGATTCAGACTGGTGTGAAGAGGATAATGGTGGCTGTGAGCAGATCTGCACTAGTCAAGTAACAGGCGCTGTGTGCAGCTGTGTGACAGGAATGCTGCAAAGAGATGGGAAGAGCTGCCGAGGTAAAATACAAATACACACACACATGGGCTGTTTTACATTTTTTAAATAGGCGGACATTGCCGAAAGTGGTGTGCTATAAACAGTAAAACATCCCAGTGCTGTAATACTAATTATTAGCACTCTTGGAACACAGCACTATTGCATGTGTGGCATTGCTTTTATGCAACAGTTTAAAAAAGCATTAACTTAATTAAACCTACATTTTAGACACAATATTGCCAGTTACTTTTTGTATTTTTGGTCCACTAAAGAAAATAGTTCCAAACAAATCACAGCAATTCAGTGCTTATGTATTTTTGTGAGCCAACCCGAAAGTTAGTATCACACTAGTTCTGTTAACAAAAACCCAGTTGGATTTTTTTAACTGGCTTTTGGATTATTGCAGAAAAGCAGCTCTGTGACACATTTCGTTCATTATCATGACCTTCACAAACGAACGCAACTTTTATGAATTTGAAGCCTAAATACAATCTCCAAAAGTTAAAAGCTAAAGAGGCTTTAAACAAACAACTTAAACAAACTAACAACTTATTCAGTCTTTATTTAAAAAACATTTTTCCCTGACAGTCTGAGTTAGAATAGCTTGCAAGAATGTGAGTATAAACACAAAAAGGCTGTGAAAGCAAACTAGTGAGTAGATGAGTTTACCTGTTTTGCCATTTAATGTCCCTAACAACCTGTATAGTCCCATTTAGCAACTTGTCAGCAACTGCAAGAAAAAGTTTTTAAAAATCAAAGTGGGTATTATTGATGTATTTTATGTTGTTGAGGAAAAGAAAAAAATTAAAAACCCATTGAATTTGGGACGATGTAACCAGATTTGCTAAAATGCTAACTCGTTTCCAGGTTTTGGCCTTCAAAAATACATCTTCCCTGCAGCACTCTATTAACCAAGGGTATCAGTCTGTGGCCCACAGTACTATGAGTTACATCAGCTACAATAAGTTACACCCACTACAAAAAACACACAACAAGGGAATGTATTTTAAGATTTGAAAGCAATAAAATTCTGCCTAAAAACATTTCACATATAAAAACTAAAATTATTGTACTTGAAAATATGTAATGTGACATAGTAGATGTAACTTGTAGATCCACTCAGAACCAACTTTTGTATGTTTATTCATGTTTCTTTACAAGAGGTTTGTCAGTTTACTGCAGTATGTCCATTTATAAATTTGTTTTCACATTTTCCATTTATAATAAATGTCAGTTTTGTCATCAGACACTCTTGTACACTACACTGCTCTGCATATTAAATGTCAGCAGCAGCATACGTTGATGTCCTGTTTCTCTGTAACTCTGAAACAAAGTGAAGCTTGTGCATTCTTCATGACTTCACTCAAATTGTAAACTCCTTGACCCCCTGTTCTCATGAATCTCTCCTCTCATTTTCTCTTAACAGTCACCAGTATGAGTACTGACCTTCAACCCCTGCTTCTTCTGGCAGCTGTTGTTGTAAGCGTCAACATCGTACTGCAAACACACACCTCAGTTTTTTTCTCTTAACACACACCAAGCAAGGTCAAGGGAGACAGAGGCGTATACAGACAAAAGGGAGGAGAAAAGCGAAAAGGAGCCAGTGAGGGGATATGCATTTGATGCATCAGCAGTCCTGCAGTGAGGACCACCTCTGAGCAGTTCCCTTCATCGAAGTGAAAACTGTGATCAAATGCAACCAAGTGATCCTTCACCAGCTGGATATCTCAGACATAAACAATGTGCCTCAGTCCAATATAATAACCTGACACCCTTCAGACCCTGAAAAATCCCAAATCTTTTCTTTGGCAGAACATCTAAATGCCAGAAACCAAAAAAAAAAGCAAACTGTCACTTTGAAACGTAGTAATAAAAAAACAACGACTGAATATTTCACAGCCACTAATTAAAGATTAGCAAGCGTTACTTATTAGAGGATGAATTTTCCTGAAAAATCACTGAAACGTGAAAGCACGTGTTGCAAGAATGGATGATAATTCTCAACACCAGTTATGTTGTTGTAATGTTTTTGATTTAGTTGATTTGATGAAATGCATAATTCTCAATATGCCATTTTGTTTCTTATTTAAACCCCTTTTTTTGCCATACTAAAGTATTGCTGAGATCAAAATGCCAACCAGCATTTGTATTGCTTTGTATTCCTGCGAATACAAATGAGTGAATAGTGTTTGGTACCAACACACAAATGTTCTTGAGTAGCCAACTTTTCAAGCATCACTTATTTAAGCTGTATATAGTAGGCCATGTTTGATGGATGTGAACACTTTTGCCCTGTACTATAAATACTCAATGTACTGTATGAATCACTGACATAAAGTGGATTGTTAGAGTCATCAACTCCATTTGCAATTTAATCTGGCAATATCACTCATACCTCATGGTGATGATGATGATGATGATATTAATGGAAGATTCAAGGACTGTTTCTAATCACTTTGCTCATGACACCACACAACTGAAATATACTGCATTTCCTGTAGGTTTGGGATTGCCATAATCCATTGGTAACATATGTAGTCAGCTGATTGGTGACCAAACCATTGATGTCCATACTTACTGTAACAATGTTTTCTTATTCTAGGGGTTGTTTGTTTTGTTTTGTTTTGAATCTGATATGATTTATTTGAGAATAAAGTGAGCAATTCACATTGATTCTGCTTCTATTTATAGTGCATTAGTCATGACTTCTGCAGCAAGCCAAAGATAGAGAACTGGCGCGCGAGAGAGAGAGAGAGAGAGAACGAACTATCCGCGCTGCTATGGCGACCGCTTGGGAGGCGGTTCCTTAAATCCTGACTTGAGAAAAACTCAAATATCCGAGCAGGACTCTGTGCTGGTATGCTGCCACTCCAACCAACTGATCGAGTGCGTAATGGTGAGCCAGTGCCGTACGATTTTCTGCTGAATCTTGAAATAGCGCGTGGTATTTAGGAAAATCCAGGAATATTTTGCTGGTCACTCGGGAGGATGAACTGGAATTCCGCTGGTAAGCATTTTAAGGGTTATGGGGGAGGCTCTTGCGCAGGATTAAACATGTGACATAATTTACCCTCATCAGCTAAACTTCTATTACCAACCCTGTCTATTCCCGATCATAGCGTTCATGCAATTTAACGAGACCGTTTTCCACAGTCAGCGTTAATGAGTGGGCAGTGAATGCAGTGTTTATAGTAACTGCTGTATCCCACAGTAACAGTCTCTGTTTGACTCACGCTCAGATTGCGTCCACTGCTTTAATAGGTAGCAGTGCATTACTTAATTACTCAGACCTTAGCCAGTGCGCATTCCTCTTCATCCACACTACAAACACTCTCTCTTCGTCATTATCGTCATCGTCATCATATTCGCCTACTTCATTTTTACCCTCGTCTTCATTGTCATTGTTATCATCTTCATTCATCAGCATCCTGTTCTTTTTTTCATAATTTTCTCCTTCGTCATTATTTTAATTGTCTTCATTTTCTTTCAATTCTAAGTAAAAAACAAAGCAAAAAAAGCAATACTTATATGTTTTTAGACACCATGGTAATTCCATTTTTACCTTAAAGTATCAATCTGATATCATCATTGCCATCTGATACTATCTTTTTTTTTAGCAATATCATAGACTATGGAGCTCATTGTTTGTTTTTCCAGTTTTTAAAGTAGCCTATTATTATATTTATAATTATGAAACTCTACAGTAATTGTTTATATTATGGAAGGGTTAGGTTTTATATTATGGAAGATTAGGGTTAGGTTTAGGGTTTAGAGTAGCTATAACCAACATACTATAGGTCTGCATTTGATTGTATAATTTATTGTATGTTGCAGGTTTTATTTCATACTTCATCAGCTGTGAAAGCAATGTAATTTTGCTTTACAAACTTTTCATACATAAAAATAAATAAATGTACTTCAGGCGATTATCCACCCAGCCATGTTTTTCTTTGCAGGAGATGTAACAAATAGTAGTAGATGTAACTAGACAACTGCGTTACGTAGACCCTTCTCAAATTTTTGCTTGTGAAAAGTTTTTTTTTTCCAAGTTTATTTATAGGAAGTGCCTTTGTTCATGGTTTAGTTAAGTTCTCACAGAGAAGTCGTGACTTCAGCCATTCCTCGAAGGCTGCGGTGGTCTTTGAAAGATCCTCTTCTTCTTCTGCATTTCTCTTTTTGTCCAACAAAACTCCAAAATTAGAATACTTTTCAATTATAACACTCATCATCAACATTTTGAGTATCAGTGTACATTACCTGCTAGTAATTCTAGTTGACTGTTGTCCTACTTCCACACAACTGATACTGTAAGATGAGACAAGTCACGTTTATTACGTTGTCTTTGTGTTTGCATGAGCAAGAGTTTCAGTTATATCCTAAAACAGATTATTTGCTGAGACTGAAAATTTTACACACAATCTCTAATAAGCATTAGTCTCATGTGCTTCAGCTTTGTTTAAAGCAGGCTGTATTTGTTTCTTGTGACAGTTTGGCTCTCTCCTCTTTGGGGCTGATTTCGCTTCACATCTTGATCATGTCTCCAGTCTACTCACCCCCCAAATACACCACTGGCTCCACCCTCTTAAGTCCGTACAGTTCCTATGACCCCTGCGATCCCACGCTGGGATATATTGTCCGAGGTCAACCTCAGCTTTCCAGGTATGCTCCTTCCACCTCCCGCTACCTGAACCCCAGCCCTTGCCTCGCCCGAGGCGTCCTGTTCTTTCCCCAGGAGCCTGAACATGGGCGAGCTGCACCCCATTCAGAGCCCCACATCGGCCGCCGGAGTGAAAGCTACAGTAGGATGCAGGTTAAAGGTCAGATTCCCCGAATGAATGGGCCGAGGGGCCGTTCACCGTCAAGGACTGGATATAGCTGCACATCACCCTTGTCAAGGCAGCGCAGGTCGGTCAGTCAGTCAGACCTGATGCGGGAGCTGGCCACACTGGAGATCTGTGACCAAGGAGCAGTGGAGAGAGGAGTGTACACAGTCAAAGAGAGCACGATCAGGGGACGAACAGATTACTCAGGGCCTCTTTACTGGAGCTCAGAGGTGAGTTTGATAATAGAGGTACTCAGAGGTGCTTTGACAATAAATATGTTTAAAAAGAATTCTGAGAATCAGAATCTATCTGTATTCGTTGTTAATATGAGCAAAATGTTTTGCTGCTTCTGTGGCCATGAGATTGTTTGGAAGTATTGTCAAAATTATAATATAAAAGTCTTTGACCCCCCCCCCAAAAAAAGGTATTTGATAAAAATCAAGGTTACAGAGTGGCGCTTACAATGGAAGTAAATCGAGCCAATCTTTTGATTTTTCAGTAAAACAAATGCGTTATTTGAACTGTGGAGCTGTTTTACATTTTACAGTCATTTCATTGCAGAGTTTCTCGCCATCTCAAATCAAACACATAACATGTCATTTCTACATAATCCTGAAGGCTGTAGTTAGATTTTCAAAAATTTTTTTAGATATGGAGCTAAACTCTAGTTTATGGAGTTGCATTGTCTTGGCGACAAAATTGTAAGATTATACAGAACTTTATACAGATAAGGTTAGTAAGGCATTTTTTTACAGTAAAATCATGTTAACATGCATATATTCTGTGGCTATACTATTGAAACTAGTGAATGTTTTAACATTTATGGAACTGCCTTACCGTAACCTATATTTTTACTTTTTTATAAAAAGAAAATGAGAGATTTTTTGGTCATCAGTATTATGATAAATCTTAACTTGTACTGATATTCCTTTAATTATCTTATCAGCCAGCATATTACTATCTTTAATATTCATATTATTCTTTTTATTATTATTCACAGTAATGTAAAAGAACTAGAATAAAGTCGTTTTGTCTGACAAAGTGAGGCAGAGCTCTAATTACCGAAACGACTATTAGCCCTGTAATACTCAGATTTATTCACTAGAGTGCACCGCCTTCCTCTTTTAATTAAAGCTGCTGTATTTAAAGCTGTATTTAGAGGGCCACAGATCTTTGATAATAGGTTAAGATGAGAAATATGGCACACAAATATTATTTTAAAAAAAACAACAACAAAAGAATCTATGCCTGCATTATAGTACATTTGAAAGGACCAATGAAAAGTATTTTTTATCAAGAAAAGGAAGAAAACTTTAATCTTGTAAACTTGATTAATTCCTTTCTTAAAGAACAACACGTGCAAAAGTGTTTTTGCTTTATGTTTTTATTCAATTTATAAAGATGCTGTAAATATAATCATTATAGATTCTATCATATAACTTTTCCTAGGCTACTGATGTGATTAGAGTATACACAAATGATGTACATCATTTTAAACATATTTGCCAAAATCAATATTTCTTTAGGTGTAAATGGCCAGTATTGAAGTATTAGTCTGGACTTGTCCGGGCTGTACAACAAGCACATGCAATAACTGATCGTTGATTGGGTCTCGCAAACTCTGGCCTTCCATAAACATCTTCAGATTACAACTGGTTTTGCGCAGTTGGCTGAGATCATTCATTTATGAGCTGACATTGTGCCACATTGATTGCTAGTCGATTGCTCTCATAGTGGGCCAGAGGTCTGTACAGTGCTGAATATAATTACTTGTTCACAGTAGCAACCGAGTATATCAGCACAATTTCATGTTGTTACCTTGGACTTTGTCATTGTCAGGCCTATAGCGTATGGTCTGCCAAAATCAGGGTGTTATAAAAATGTGCAGTACCAGGTGCAGTTCTGCTTAGAACTCTGACTTAAGCTTATTTGTGTTCCCGTTCTCCTCCTGCCCTAACAGTGTGACATAACTAGATGCTTTGAAATTTAATCTCACCATTTTTTATGCATTATTCAAACATCAGTAGAGATCACTGTGCCAGAATGTATGTTTTTCTTTTCCTTTCTCTTCTTCTTCTTCATTCCATTCCCATGGTCTTGTGGTGTTGGGAGAGGCCATGAAAGAGATGAAGTGGTGTCTTTATGATCTGCCTAAATCCTAAAGGTTTTTTGCCTGGCGTGTGTGTTTAGGTTACATAACTTTCTACAGTCAGGTTTAAAGTTATTGTAAGGATAAGCAGAGTGCTGGAGTACTTGTACAGAGAGATAAGGTTCAGTGTTTTTTTTCTTATCATATTAAGTCCATTATAAAGATGGATTATTTGCATTATCTTTATTTCATCAAAAGTTTTTGCACTTTTTGATTGTAAATTAGTTTATGAATTATCACAGATGCAGTTCTGCATGCTCTCTTTCTTACTCAGTATATTGCAGATTTCACTGGAAATATGAAAAATCAGTGTAAAAAGTGGAAAATGTGGTTACCTATGGGCTGCGTTTCCCAGAAGCATCCTAAGCCTAAGTGCATCATAGACCCATTGCCACCAATGGAGCTGCGATCAGTTTAGGCTTACGATGCTTTTGGGAAATGCAGCCCTGATCCATATTACTTTCAATGATAGAACATTTCTTGGTTTATTGTAGTCACTAGTCAGATTTAGTCACATTAATTAAATCAATTTACTTGACTAAAGCCAGTTAATAAACCAGGTGCTTTTAAATTTGGCACCTTATAACTTTCATTACAGTTTTTTCAACTGCTTACACACATTTTCAAAACTTTGCCTCTTTTTTTTCAAAACTTTACACACAAATCCCAGAATTGCACACACAAAATGCAAAATGCCTGACATCTCTTGCAAAATGAAGCACTGTATTCAAAATATCACAAACGCATCTCAATAGCAAACATTTGAAAACACCTTTGCCATAATATTAATTCCTGTTAGAGTTTTGTGTTACGTAGAGAATTGTGTGTTGTGTTTTGCAAAAAGTGTTTTATGAAATTGAAAGGCCGAGTCAAAGGCCGAGAATTAGTGTATGGTTTTGCAGATTTGGTGTGCGGTTCTTGTGTTTGAGTGTCAGGTTTCAGAAATTGTGTGACAAGTAAAGATTTTTGTGTGTAACTAAGTGATATAAAGTTAATATACTCTGCTTGAACTCAAAATGTCAAAATCTTATTTCCACCTAAAAATGTACTGATAAACACCATGATAATACAGGCGGTGCAATAAAAAGCCATGATAAGTTCAGTGGCTTGTCCTTAAAACATGATCAGTACTTGTACATAGGCATTGCACATGATCATACAAACAAAGACACACAAAACACCATCAGGGTAACACACATGACACTAAAATAATACCATACAAATTAACTCAATAACATCAAATGTAACACAAAACACCCTAATGTAGATTACCGGTAACAGAAATAAGAAATAAGACCAAAACTATTTCTGTAGTTATTATAATGGTTTGTCATGTGTCACACAGTGGCTTCTGGGAATATTCTTTTAGTGTTTTTATAATAAACTATTTGGTAATTCATAATTTTTACTTGCTAAAACCATAAATCTGAAAGTATTTTACATTAAAATGACACATAATGTGATATTAAATCAAATATAATATTTATATATTTTTACACATAAAACACCATCCTAGTCGGGGAAGTCATGGCCTAATGGTTAGAGAGTCGGACTCGTAACCCAAAGGTTGCGGGTTCGAGTCTCGTACCGGCAGGGATTGTAGGTGGGGGGAGTGAATGTACAGCGCTCTCTCCCACCTTCAATACCACGACTGAGGTGCCCTTGAGCAAGGCACCGAACCCCCAACTGCTCCCCGGGCGCCGCAGCAAAAAATGGCTGCCCACTGCTCCGGGTGTGTGTTCACGGTGTGTGTGTGTTCACTGCTGTGTGTGTGCACTTTGGATGGGATAAATGCAGAGCACTAATTCCAAGTATGGGTCACCATACTTGACCACATGTCACGTCACTTATAATATATGACTTACATTAAACCAATTAAAAGGTTTTTAGTGTAGCCTTTTTTCTGTAAAAACTACTGTACAGTGTAGATGTTACCACATAAAGTACATTTTTAAAGGGACAGTTCACCCCAAAATGACAGTTCTATCATCATTTACTCACCTCCACGTTGTTCCAAACCTGTATGGCTTTTGTGGAACACAAAAAAACATATTTTGAAAAAAAAAATTTGATTGATTGATACAATAAAAGTCAGTGTAGTCCAGTGTTGTTCAGTTATTTCACATATTTGGATGAACTATCCCTTTTTGCACAAAAAGTTTCACAAACAAACAGTATTACACGGCAGTCTACTGATGTTTCAAAAAATGCCAAATCTAGAACCATAAGACCTTCATCATAAGCATTCACACTAACAAATCTCTGACTATTAAAGAAAAATACTTATGTTAGGGAGATGGAATATTTGTTTAGCTATTTGTACTGTATGGCTTTAAAGCCATGTCACTGAGCTGCTGATGTGATCCATTTCTAATTTTGTTCTTGATGCATAGTTTCTGAAGAAAATGTAGTCCGACTTCAATTAAGGTCTTGCACTATGACATTAGGTCCAGTGTGTGTGTGTGTGTGGGTGTTAGTGTGTAAAAGGTCGAGAGCAAGAGAGAAAGGGAGTGAGTGCTTAAGTAGACCATCATATTGTAGTTAAATCATTGGGAGAGTCTCATACTGATGCCACTCCTTTCACTCTCCCACGTCAAGTCAAAGCATGTGGTAGGTTCAGGATATAAGTATTTGTACACACACATCACATGCACAGACAAGATAAATTCCTATACAAACCATGAAACACAATACATCTGTGGTGTGTGATTGAAATTGCATGAGAACATATCATCTGTCCTGCATTCCAAATCTCTCTGTCACATACGAATCACCTCCTGGGAACTGTGCATATCTCTCACCATGACAACCAAACATGTCTGCACAAGTCACCAGAATGAGTCAACTCTTCTTGTGAGCTTAATAAAAGCTGTTAGTATAGTATACCAGATAATATTAAGTTGCCTGGGCGTTGCTGTGTGAATGAAGTTTGCAGCTTCTTGCGTGGCAGAAACAATGATCTTTGTCCTGTCTAAGATCATCTAGTTGATCTCTAGTTGAAAACCTGTCAAGAACAGATCATACCTGGGCCATGTTTCAATGCAAAATCAAAAGAAAGAAATAGGAATTATATTACACAGAAATAACATAAAGCCTGTATTTAGGACCATTAAGTGCTTAAATGTCATAAAAATGATGTCACAATGTAAACAATACTAATGGTCTTCAAAAGGCTTGGCTTATATACACACACTACTGTTCAAAATGGGATCAGTTTTTTTTTTATTCAGCAAGAACGCATTAAATTGATCAAAAGTGACAGTAAAAACCTTTATGTTGATACAAAAAATATATTTCAAATAAATGCTGTTCTTTTGAATTTATATTTATCAAAAAAAAAGAAAGAAAAAAATATCATGGTTTCCACAAAACATATTAAGCAGCAGAACCATTTTTAACATTGATAATAATAAGAAATGTTTCTTGAACAGCAAATCAGCATGTTAGAATGATTTCTGAAGGATCATGTGACACTGAAGACTGGAGTAATGGCTGCTGCAAATTCAGCTTCGTCATCACAGGACTAAATTACATTTTTAAATATATCAAAATAGAAAATAGTCATAATAATATTTAACAAAATTACTTGTTTTACTGGAATTTTTTTTTTTAAATGCAGGCTTGGTGTGCATAAGATTTCATTCATAGACTTTTTTTAAAATCATTCTATCGGAGCTAAAATTCAGAGATCTCAATATGAACTCAAACATTTTCATGAAATCCCAATTTTAATGTTTATTTTATTGCTGCAGCTCTGTATGTGAACAACTGTCTTGTTTGTGTCTATTTTTATTTTTACATTTTAGGAGGAACATTTGAGACAGATTTGATACTTAAAATATTACTGAGAGTTCCATTACTGTATGTCTCCTGTGCTCTGTGCAAAGCTATTAAATTTTCATTTGGGTATTTCTGCTATTAATGAACGGCTCTAGACTAGACTGTTTTACTACCTTTGATGTTTAATGGAAATGTCCTGAATTTCGCAGAAAGCTTGCTGCGCAGAACTCATGTTGAACAAAAGTCAGTGAAAGTCACTGACCCATTACTTCCTCTACATTTTTTTAACCTACAGAAATTTACTATACTTATAAGTCTTATTTTCCAAAATGTGACAACTGGAAGCTTATTACAACATAATTTGCTTGACTCAGCTCCCTGTGGCATTTAGTTGGCTCCATTATTAGTAGAGCAGGAGTCATAATATAAGTATAGACTTTTTCAGAAGGATTTTTAGTAAGGAATGACTAAAATTTTGCACATTTACAATTTGAAGGACTGTAAAGCACTAAAGATCATGCTTATTACTCATGGCCCAGATAAGATGCTTTATTGCCAGACCGATCAACTTTGTACTTTCATCTAAATTAGTGTCAAGGCAATTTGGCTTATTTTGGCCCGCAGTACGAGCAGGTCTGGGGCCAGCTGTGTACTTTGCCGGGTATGAGCCATTTGAAGTGACAGTGCGAGACTTCCCCTGATAAATTCCAGAGACAGTATGACTTCATATAGACTGCACAAGCTGAGGGAAGCCATGGCTTCAATCACGTAGGCTTCCTACAAATTAAGCCCTTCTTAAAGTTCTACAAAATGCATCAGGAAATGCCTATAATTAGATTTGATGATCATGTGCATCTCCATGCTTGAGAATTCTTCGCCACGTGACTTTACAGGCATATAATTAGGCTTCAAATTCAGTGTAAAATGTAAACCGATTACCATTTGGGTTCAACCTTAGCAGGATGCCTTCAGGGGAATCAGAACAGTCAATGCTGTCAGATTCATGTGATTTTACGATCACACAAATGCAATGCAAGATTGTGTTTCCTGTCTAAGCTTTGCTTGGCTCAGCCGAAGGGATGTGAAGAGGCAATCTGGAGATCCTGTGATGAGGAGTTCATACTCACTCACCCACATTCCACACAATGTAATAGCTCTCTGTACTCTCTGGCTTGCGCTATAGAACATGCATGCCAGATTCCTGACATGCCATGCATCTGGATGACTTTGTTAAGAGCATGTGTGCATACAGTTCTGCATTTTTGTTGATTTGCTCATCTGGTTGCATGTGATGAGCAACAAGTCAGTTCCATTTGTTGACCAGTCATACCTGAAAATATATGTAAAGGCCTGATTAGAACTGCTCCCTTATATGATTCAAAGTAGGGGTTGCACCGACTAATCGACTAGTCGACTTCAATGCTCTGCCATGACGCTTTAAGCTTGACGTCGACTAGTCGCTGGTCCTATAGAGGGCGCAACAGGATAAGAAATCTTTGAAGGACTTCCACATTTACGCTCCGTTTCCAAACAGTTCAAATGACAAATAAATGCATACTCTGAAAGCGCTCCA